TAAATTATGCTTTTAACAGCATGTTAAAAGAATTCATGCTGCTCAACGAAAATGGAAGCAACGACAGTATTTGCATTTTAACAAGTTTTAGGATGTACAGATCAAACTCAGAATGTCTTTCAAAAGCTGGTATATTTTTGCTATTTATCATAAATGGTGAAACTAATATATAAAAAAGGCTTATTACAAAATGATGTAACATATGCCAAGCCTTTGTTTGTTAGAATTTGGATGATTATGTCTTACAATCTATTTCCAAAATATTCTAATATTCTGGAATATTTACAAGCAGTGAGCCACAATGACAAGGCTTGATATATCTCACTCTATGTTTCACAGAGTAAGTTGAATTACAGAAGTAAATGGACAGTTGAGCCACATTCTAAGAACAGAAAAAAACTACATTATGCATTATGATGGACATTAATCAAAAAGTTTTGATACTGATACTATCATTCCAATTCAAATAATTCTGTTGCTGTGTATAAAGAGGATGGGTGTGGCGCTGTTGTTTTGCTTCTTAGCTGACAGGCTTTGCAAGGTTCAATATCCTATTTGCTATATCACATTTGCGCTATCAGGCCTGGTAACAGTTCTGAGGCCTAGGAGAAAATGAAATCTCTCGCAAATCATATCTCCACACTGACGTCCAACGAAATCCTGTAAGCTGGAGAAAAAAATAAACCAAAAGGGCCTACAAAATCTGTATACATCCCCAAGAGTCATCTCTCAGAGCAGCAGGTAGGGCAACCATCCCGGTCATTCATATTTAATTCCAAATGAGTTTCCGGCCAGACTAATGTGCAATTGATTTTGACTCTCCCATTTCAGTACAAGGGTGGGGGAAAGACAGTGAAAGAGTCATAGAACATGGATGAAAAATCATGATAAAAGAAGTTTTTGCCAAATGGATTGACACCACAAAAAGCTATTTCTTTGCCTTTTCAGAGAATCTATACAGTAGTTGCTTTGCTGGTAAAAACTAATTGTTGTGCCAGCCATTTCTATGTAAAATGAAAGCAAGGAAAAAGCTACATAAACAAAGAGACAGCCTGGGAGTGTTGTGTATTTAAAGTCTGTCTCCAGATACTTTCCCAGACAGGACAATATGAAACATTAATAAGAGGAACTTCAAGTAAAAGGATTGAAAGTGAAACACGGTAGAGCTTAGGACCCACAAGTCTGATCTTGATTCAAAGAATATATATCTATATACAGTATATATATATATTTAAAAAAACACACACACACACACCTTACGCCCTCCGTGGTTATCCCTCTCTAAGCTCGGGTCCTCTACCAGAGGCCTGGGAGCTTGGGGGTTCTGTGCAGTATCTTTGCTGTTCCTAGCATTGCACATTTCTGGACCGAGATTTCTGAGGTTGTTCCAGCGATCCGCCGTAACCACTCCTCTAGCTTCGGGGTCACTGCCCCGAGTGCACCGATCACCACGGGCACTAGTGTCACCTTTACCCTCCAGGCCCTCTCCAGCTCCTCTCTGAGACCTTGGTATTTCTCTAGCTTTTCGTGTTCTTTTTCCTGATTTTACCATCGCTTGGAATTGCAATGTCCACCACCATGGCTTTCTTCTGCCCTTTGTATATTCTGCCCTTTACTGTATATACATATATATACGTGTGTGTGTATATATATATATGTATATACACATTATATATATATATATATATATATATATATATATATATATATATATATATATATATATATACACATATATATATATATATTCTTTACTCTTCTTTTCTCTCTACTTTGAGGAGGAAACCACCAGCATTTATAAATTTTCAGTGAAGATTATTGCAAAAAAATAAACAACGATTTAACAAATATTCGTGGTAATTGACACTCAAGAGATAAAAATTAAAATTGGGTTTTCATTCACTTTCAATTCCTATTGAAGCAAAACAAAGCAAATGATTTGTCTATTTTAGGTAAGTACTTACTAAGTAGCGTTCACCAAGACCCTTTTTATTAACCACACAAACATTGCCTGAACTGGACTTAAGTAAATCCTGGGTTAGGGTTAGTCCTGACATTCCTACAAACAATAGTCGGTTGGTCAATAGTGTATGCAATGCGAAATGCAACCTATAAATACAAAAATGACAAGGGCAGTTACTTAAAAGACTTCCTCCCACCAGCCTGTCTACTCTAATAATAGCCCAAAGACAAGAGATCTAGACCGACAGAAAGATATAGAAAGAAGGGAAGGCAAGGCAGTGAAAGTGCAAACCATGAGGGAGACCACAAAGAAAATATGCCAAATAAAACATGAAGCGTAGAATTAGGCCGGTTGCCATAACCAACAAATGTCCTTTAAAATGAGGCTAATTTAATTTTGGATCCTTTCCTAAAAATAATGATTGCTTCAGTGATTCTGCTTTCCAACACAGAATTGCCAAGAGCCAGGCCTGATGGAGAGGCCACTGAATTAACCAGACCTGCAGGCCTCATCATGCTCCTCCTCCTCCCCAGAGAACACATGGGCTGGGGCTATACTGTCATCTCACCCCCATCTCCCCATGTGCACTGGGCCTGCAGTCCACAGGCAATGTCAACAACTGTATAACACAATACAGAACCATTATTTATTGAGTGGGGATTAATGTATAGTATATGTATGGTAACCTTCAAGTGTTTGCACCCTCAACTATGCTTTAGAAAACAAGACAAGAAATTATATGTTTTATGAGAAAAACTAAAATACTTTATACGTCGGACCCTGTCTGAGTGTTTCTGATTCCTGAAGAACGCAGGAACACCAGAGATAGACTGGACACAATAGGTGAATGTTTGCTGTTGTACCAAAAAAAAAAGAAAAAAGATGGGTTTATAAACCAAAGCAAAAAAACATGCTAAAAATACAAACAATTGTGGTGCCACTTGACTCTGAAAGCCTGATCCTGTCCAGTTGCAGGTACAGGTACATAAAGAAGTGTAGTTTTAACTTAAGTTTTATTGGCATTGTATTGTTTGAAAATTATAAAGGTATTATACTTAAAACATTTATAAATGCATTATTGTCTACTCAGTACAATACAATATATGAGGGAATGTTAAATAAACACAACCTATTTCTGCTCAACTATTTTTGTTACCAACAGTTTTGTTTATGCTCTCGTTTATTTTTAGCCACTACAAACCTGTCTGCACACACCAGTGGTTACAGTCATTTCATTTAGACTTTTTTTCAAAAAAGTATGTACTGTGTCTGTAGTTTGAACATATTTTGACGTGTCAGTAATGTTTTGTTGCTTTGTCAACTTACAAACAGGTAACACATACCCAAGTGCATTCCTCAATATTATAAAAGAAAGGGATCTTTGGAACAGGACCACTAATCACTGGAGGTGGAGGAACCTCAAGGAATAAGAAAATAATCAGTGGAACAACGAGAAGGCTTTTAAGCAAAAGCAATGCTTGATCCTTGATTCAGACATGCACAATAGGCGCTTCAAATGCCCTCTTACCCAAAGGGAGGATTCAGCTGCTGAGCTACTAAGCAGGATTCTAATGAGGGGCTACAATTAAGCCCATTTATTCACATTAAGTGTGAACTGTAAGTGGGACTGCAGTCAGTTGACGGGCGTAGGTGCTTTTGTGTGACAAGAGCAGCTTTTATTTGTGGCATAAAGACGGCAAAAACACAAGCACCTAATGACTGAGTCCCTGCATCTCTTCTTCTTAGACGCTGATAAACAGGAGCAGTGGCACACTCTCCTCACAGACTGACTCAAAGGCCCCGGCACATCCAGGCAGAGTTGAGTCACTGCTTGACAGTGGGGGCGGGGCTAAGACAGAGTGACAGTGGGGCTCCATCTCTATCCTCTTATTAACGCTTAACGAGTGCTTTCCTCATGCAATATTCATCTTCACTAATATCACCCAAGCCCTGAGCTGAGCTTGCTACTTATGTAAGGCAATTATGTAAAATATCAGACAAGGCCAATGTTCAGAATGTGACTGGAAGTGGAAACTGTAGGACGATGGCAGGTCGATAGATAGAAGGACATAGAAACAAGTGGAAGCACACTATATAAGGAAGTTGGTGCCTTGCGTGTCCTTAAGGGAGAACAGAGGCATCGATATCCAGCCGTTTTAACAAGTGGTCAGCGTCATTGATGCAAACATATTCCTCCCACATCTTATTCCTGAGAGCTACAGACATCTAAGGACTCTTCAAGGTCAGCTGGGGAAAAGCTATACTAGTGGCTTTTACTGCAGCCAGTCTTGTCCACTACTATCAACTACACAAATCACATAAAGCCAGTTACTTAAAGACAATTTACTGCATGGGAGCATACGCAAATAAAATACCTACCAGACACAAATTAATAAATATGCAGTGATTTACACACCCACCCCCCAGGTCAAGGCCCTATGGGGGTCTGCACAGAAATAGGTCATTTGTCACACATGATGTCCCGGGGCAGAGAATGCATTATAGATGAGTCCAAACAGCATGTCTCAGTGAACACTCAGTGCACAGGAGGCAACAGCAGGAGCTGGCCATCCAAGGAGGAGAACCCTTCAGGAAGAGGAAACGCATGGGATGTCATAAAGTTAGTCAAAGAATTACCCCTGGACCTGTCAATGATAGTCATGGCGGAATCAGTGAAGAGAATCATCAGATACCAGCCTGTACATGGATGAAAACCTATAATTCTTAGTATTTTTACACATACCAGACATAGATTAATATACCTAATTAGTTATTCTCATATCTGCACCTGACTCTACAGCACTACAGCAAACCATCTGCCTGGTCCAGAAAGCGTGCCCTCATTTATCTTACTATGCCTTTTCTTTCTAGTCCCATGTAATTATAGCATATTTTGGGCACAGTCCGTTTTATTCACTGCTTTGATTGTAACTAGAAGAATGAAGACGTACGAATGCCTGTCGGGTCCAGCTCTTTTATTCACACAGACAAAAGTGTGAATGTGTTTTGCTGTGATTTTGAACCGAGAAAAAGGAAATCAGGCTTTGCTAGAGGACAAGTGAGTGTGAGGAGCGAGAAAAATAAGTCTGCTGTCTTGTACTGCACCCATCTGCTCTGAAAGTGCAGGTGGAGGCCTATTCACTGTGCTCTGCATGTGAGTGAAGAGGGGGGGCAGGAAGAAAGGCAGGGCAGGGAGAAGGAGGGTGGATGCTGAGGCAAGGGAGGGGGCCTCTTGGTTATCTCTCCTAAAGGGGATAATGGGAGAGGAGCGCATTGCAATGGCTGCCGTGTAGTACCCTCCCTGCACAATTAGCCAATCAGATGCGCGCATTGCCAGCCAGGAGGACGCATAAAAGAAGAACATTGCAGCAGTGGCACAGAAGGAGACAGAGTGGAGCGGGGAATTACACACAAAAAAACAGACGAAGTCAAACACCCTCCCCTGGACACACCCTGCCGCTGAGGAGCACTGCTTCTTCTGTTTTTTTCTGAACCATCGCCCACGCCACTCGGAGAGAAACACGCTCCCTCATCGTCACCCGGCAGAAAACCCCTTTCTCCTCATTTTCATCCTATAGAGGACACCTACAATCGCTAAGGGCTGAGATTCACGGACAAAGATTGTAATTTTTTTTCCTTTTTATTTTTTTTTATTTTAATTTGGAGACCTGACACCAAGAGGGTCAAATAATTTGAAAGCCGAAGAGCTTGGAGACTTCAACCCAAGATCAGCGTAGAGAAGAAGGACCTAGATTTCTTGCATTGTACGTCAAGAATGGTTACTGTACGTATACCTCTATTTCTCTTCTTTCTTGTGTGAGTGAGATAGCAGCATCCTGTGTTGGCCATGACCATATGTGCACACGTGTCATCTATTATTGCAAGAGATCAAATATTAAGCATGGTTTAATGACATGCCTGCACACAGATGATGTTGAGGTTAAATAACATTTGTCCAGTATGTAGCTAGTGGTATTGATTATATTAGATCTACAGGGGTATTCTATCGACACTGGGGTATAATATCTTACACTGGAGGATGCGTTATGGATGACAGCTCGAAGACTGCAGTCATTGTCTGCCACGTAGAAGTGTCGAACCTGCCATTTTCCAGAGTAGCCTTCAGTGACAACCAGCAGGAAAGCCAAATGTCGCATATCTGAATAAAGGGGCACAATATAGAAACAAATAAAATGGTTAGCTGATTCTACAGAATTACAGAGCTAGCTCTACAAATCAGGAGGAGAAACGCAACGACACGCGTAGTAGAGAAAGTAGGCTTCCTCCAGTTGGCGCAGCTAAGGATGCTGAGGACGGCTCTATGAGACAAAACATGATGCCTCGGAGGCTGAGGGCCCATCCAACGAGGCAAAGGAAAAAGGGTCGAGTCACTCTGTGAGGGAGAGGGGGAGGGGGGGATTTCGCATCCATTGGTTTGCATTGAATCAGACAAAGTCCGAATTCCTCAGGGTTCTCGTCGCGATGCAACCTAGTAAATAGACTGGGAACCTTTGTAGCCGCAACAGTGTGGGCTCGCAACAACACGCAGATCCACGATTCTGTGCGTTTTCTGCAGTATGAATATTATGAGTATGAGTTAGTATGAGGCGCGGGAGCCACGCTCACAGCTCACCGCGCCCGCTGGACCATGGAGATGGAGAAGTGATAAATTAGCTTTGCTGTGGCTTGGCCGGATTGGGCGTGTCTCTGCTGGACTACAGCACCAGACGAGGGCCTTGGGCCATAAACGGCCTATTCTGATTTACCCCTTGACATTGTACGTGGATAGCCACTTATTGCTTCTAAGTAATCCAATTATAGGAAGACAAATTTGTGTAAAATTGTAGCACAGATCACGTTAGCATAGACGCACACTGGGTAGTCCTCGTTTGGGTGTCAAAAAAACAAACAGTGTTAAATCAAGTAATTGTTTTAAAAATGAATAGGCACACGTGTCAGTCAAGATGATCTGCCCAGGTACTACTGCTATACTATAGAATAATAATTCACACACAGGGTGTGAAAGCTAGCGTTAGCATGTTTATTATGAAGTATGACTGTGTCTTAAAGGGCCAGGCCCCGTGATTTGTGAGTGTCCAAATGAACTTGACGTGCCTCCAGTGGAGCTTCCTCTCTTCCTTTGTTCTCGATACCTATTGTCCACGTCGCAGGAGGCCCTGGCCGGCTGCTGCACATGGTCCACTCTGCAGTGCTCCATGCTTGTACCGCAGTGCCACTGCTAAATAAAACGTTGAGTCAGATAACCTTCCACTTACACATTTCAAGGACAAGCACAGCAGCCGCTACAAGGCACACAATACTATAATCTAAAAGTGCTAGTAAATCATATTAACACTTTTCTATTTGTGTTATTTTACATTTCAATCGTACCGGGCAGGAAAACGGAGGGATTGATGTCGTTATTATCTCTCAATTTATAGACTGGGATGTTAATTGCAATTATGTAAGCAGTGATTTCCCCTTGTTGCCGGTAGTGTGACTATTATGAAATAGTCTCTATGAAAACAGTGATCATGTAAAGCAACAATTGAAACAATCAAGGATAAACTGAAACGTTTGCAGCTGGCTATATCATTTTTTCTACGCAGAGGAAACCCCCGTGCATCAATTCTATGAATGAGTATCAGAGTATCAGAGTTGTAGATTTTGGTTTGTAGAGTAGTAGGTTTAGGTCTGGACTTGTTGTGGTGTTTCGGATCGGGCTACTGTAACACTCATTGTTCCCAGAGAGTCCTGCAGCCCCTAGCCACGACACAAAGCGCCACTGTTTACATTAATATTCATAGTGCTGCCATAGCCAGAGCGAGGGAGACGAGGAGGAACGGGTGGCTCTTTTGTTTGCTCGTTTCAATACATTTATTCAGCAAAAAGGCGCTGCGCTTCATGAATGCCTGCACAGCCGAGCCTTTAAAATAACGAGTAAATAAAAGAAACGCACTGATTCATGTAGTCTATGTTTCGTGAATTTAAAAAAGTATCAGAATTAAACTTACACACAATGTGCAAAATGAGTTTATGAATCGTGCAAAATGTTAAAGAGGTTTTTAGGAGCATCAAGAGAAAGTATGAAAAAGCCACTCCCTTTTTCAGCACGCTGGATAGCGCCCTGTACAGGAGGACTTGAATAAAGACTTGTCTCCTCCAGCCTTTGACGGTGTCTGCTCTCATCTTATCAGCGTGGAGCACATTTACGCAGCTCAAATCTTTAAGAAATCTTTTATTTTTACTCCGTGGAGCGCGGAACAGAGACGGGCCCGGCTGCACATCTGACACGAGCTGTGACTCCTGTCGTCTTGTTGTTTTACAGCTGCCACCATGATCCTTTAAGCTGCAGAGAGTGTGGCTAATGCCCTTTGTTCAAGATAATCCAGTAATCTGTGTTATTTAGAAGGCTCATTTACACTCTAGCCTTCACTTTTTATTCATGCAAACCAAAAGAAAAAAAACAAATTTTTACATAATGGATTTATAATGTAGACTGCATTCAATAAAAAAAATAGAAAATAGAATCAATAAACTGGTGTCTAGCTATGTATGCTGTTTGTTTTACAGTAATATGATTTCAGCATAGAGCTAACGGTGCAATAGTCATAAGCACACAATTCTCTACATTATAGCCTCTAGTGCATTACTGTATTTGGAGCAGAAGTTAATTTGAGAAGCTGATAGCTGGCATGAGAAAAACACAGAGCTTGCCATCACATACATCTATGGCATGTTTCAATGTTTTCATAATTTCATAGGGTGCAGTGTAGGTGGTGTATGGTCTGTGCTTGGCAGAGGAGGCAGCTATAGGCCTCTTGTTTGCGTGAGAGTCTGGGTTCCTGAGTTTGGCAGCAAAGGAAAGGCTGCCGTTTGCGTGCAAGTCTGGAACCATGTGTAGGCGATAGCGCTGATGCACTACATAAAATATTAAGGAAGATCTCACTGGGCCCCAAAATAGAAACAAATATTAATGGTACCAAGCCAACTAGTTTTTTTTTTTTACCAACATTTTGGTTGAAGACGTTTGTGTCTATTTATTTCCATCCCTAGAGTATTGTTTTTCTTAGTTTGAGTCTGAAACCAAGTTAAAAGGTAACATTTGCTGACATTTTAACAATAACAAATTTAACTAAAATCTTTTTGGGGCATTGTTTCAACTGCAACTTTAAAGCTGCTCTTTCTATGTCTAAAAGCTTAGTGGTTACTGCTTGTGTCAGCCATTCTCAGCTCCTGGCCTATAGTCAGTGGTTTGTGAATTATATAACTCCATAACACTGCTCACTGGGGATGTGTGTTCTGCTACGCTGTGGGTTATTTCAGTTGGCGAGACAAATTTGCCCTAATACGACTTTTCCCCTTTTGTCATATTCAGGACACGTTCTCTATGCCCCATCAAATACTCAGACACATATAATATAGCACCATGGTTTTCTTTTGTTTTTATACATGGCATTTAAAAAAAAATGCTATCCTTGTTGGCACTGTCTTATCCATTTGAAGTTTTTTATTTTTAGGCTTCCTCTCGTCTGTAACATCTTGTCATGATCAATATGACTTAACAGCTCCTCCCCGCTTCTCTGTTGTCATATAATATTTATTCACTGAAGAAAAATGTCTGACCTGTATTTCTGCCTTCAATTTGACGCTGCAGACAAAAAGTAAAAAGATTGGAGAAAAAAATTAATATTCAGCCTAGAGAAACAATGCAGTCTTTGAGGGGCTGTTACCTGGGCAACCTGAGAGGAGCTGAACTCAAAGGAAGATGGCAGGTTAGAAGGCAGGTCGGCGAGCGTGTTTCCAGACTGTGTTGAAAAAGCAGCGCAAAATGACACCTGGATTTAAAAATAACACAAACAAAAAGTACAATAAAAAAGAGATGATAAAATATGACATATAAAGACGCAAACTAATTTATTGGATAAAAGGAAAAGGAAGACTATCCGCCAATGTTCTTTTTCGCTGATAGGTCTTATGTTGTGTAATTATCTACTATGTTATAAGAAAAGCTCTTGATTACATTATGCAGAATTGCTATAGTTTGCTGATTTCAAAATGCACACTGTCTGGGAAAGTGTGGTGAAACTAGGGCAGACTACACAGACGTTATGAAAAATTGTGTGTAGCTCAAACAAACTCAATAACCTTTATAACCCTTGAGTACAGTGTTTACATTTCAAGATACTGAATGCCACATATAGTTACAAACACACCTTTCACTTTGTCTATGTCTTTCGAGACATTGCTCTTTGTGTCTGTCATGGCAGCCTTTTGCCACGCTTGCACTCTCCAGTCTCAAGCTTGGCCTTGCATGTCCACTCATTACTATTATTCGTCCCTATGTAATGATGTAATGACGTTTGACCCGGGTAGAGAGTGTGGGGGAGGGGGACCGGCCACTGTGACATCTGCAGGACCACAGGCAAGGAGTGCAAAAGCTGGAAAGATGGAGAAGAAATTATATATTCAGGGGGGTTGGGTAGAGATCAACGCCTAGCACTAAATATTAATTCCCTGCATCTGGCTGTAGTGTCAATGTTGATGACCAGTTTGAGTAATAAATATAAAATACATATCTTTCTCAGCAGATAATCAGCACCATGGAAACCCAGGTATCCAATGGCCCAAGTGGAACAAGTCTGCCAAATGGTCCAGTCATTAGCACCAATGGCTCGACGGATGACAGCAAAACCAACCTGATCGTCAACTATCTGCCTCAGAACATGACCCAGGAAGAGTTCAAGAGTTTGTTCGGTAGCATTGGGGAGATTGAGTCCTGCAAGTTAGTCAGAGACAAAATTACAGGTAAGGATCAAAGCATTTTATTTTACATAGTGATTGTAGTTGTCAAAACTGTGATTTACTTCTTACAAATAGAATATTTTTTATCGCATGTATAATTAATTTGTGACTGCACTTTTCTCTGTATTTTAAGAGCTGTCACAGCAAGTTCCCCACTTCAATAATGCTGTTCTATTTATCTAATTTAAGATTTGCCTATGTGTCCAGGCCAGAGTTTGGGATACGGATTTGTAAATTATGTTGATCCAAATGATGCCGACAAAGCTATCAACACACTCAACGGTCTGAAACTGCAAACAAAAACAATCAAGGTAAGAAGGATTTACAATATATATTTCTGTTCTTTGGTGTTGGGGTGATAGATTAAAGAGGAAATTGGTGTCTGGAGCTCTGAGATATGGTAACAGACGTGACAGAGGGAGGGGCGTTCGATGGGGGCAACGGGTGCAGTGCCTACAACAAAGGAACAGAGAGAAAGAGTGAAAAGAGAAAAGAGCGGAGAGTGGAGGTCAGAAAGCAAGGGGCGGACAGCACGCAGAGGTTATTGTGATGGAAATGTAATTAGGGTGCCTGACTGCTGCGCACAAGGGTCAGTCCAGGTTACCCCATCTGCCTACCATTCTGGCTAATTAGGCTCTCTCTTTGTGGCAAAATTAAATGAGGGAAAAGGGGAGCGTATTATAAGATACCACTTCCCTTTTCCGTCCACCCACCCATTCCTAAAGCTGATCAAAGACGAGCAAGATTGAGACAAAGTGCGGGGTCCCAAAAATCAAATCTGTGAACTGCAGAGCAGGTGTTTCGCTCAGCAGCTGTTCATGTAATGAGAGGAAATGTTTAGCTTGTGAATGGCTGAACATAAGTAAATAAATGTGCTGGGTTAGGGTGTGTTTTGATTATATTGGTATTATCAATTATTCACTACTTCACTACTGGAAATTGAGAATGTAAGCCGTCGAACAGTGTGTCTTATGTCACAAATCTATATATTATATTGACATTCAGTATGTTTAAATTGAGGATGAAATGTTTATGGATTTCAATCATAGAGAAAGTGCTTCTGGTTTAAGAGTGGACCACTGTAGATGGGTAGGGCGTAGCACAGGGAGCAGAATGCCAATGACAGGATTAGGGACCATATGGGCTCCGGGCACCATCTGTACTGTGGGAGCGACAGGGAGAGGGTTAATTATAGGGCAGCCTCCCCAAATACAGCAACTCCCCCATGACTCGGCCAGCACCCGCTAATCACTGTACTGCACAACCCTCCTCTATGCAAGCTGCAAGGTCCAGACACACGAAGCACATATATTGTCTCTAAATGTGCAAATATGCATCCCAGCGTCAGTATTCAACCCAACATATAGGCCCTGAAATAATGTGAGGAAGATGTGTTTTCATGTTGTCAAGGATGCTTAGGTCTTATGATGTGCTTATTGTTTGCTGTTTGCCAGTAGAGCCGTTTTGTCCCTGGAGGATACAGACAAAGGAAAAAGGCAGGACAGGGAGGGCAGCTCAGCCTATCTCAGACAACACTCACTCTGTTTCTGCATCACGCACAATCACAGCAGCACTCCTAACAATGGACCAGGCAGTGCTATATACATCATACATGAGTTTACACGCTTTCACTTACAAGAAGTGTGACTTCACATTGAGGCGAGAAGATGTGAAAGTGAAAATTATGTGAATTGTGACAGACAGGCAGGGAATATGTAAGGAAAAAACATCATAGGAAAATCAGAAAGCTGCAGCATTAATTAAGTCACTGGTGGATTAAGAATATAACAAGCTAAGTCTAATGTTCTGAAGGAAGAAAACAAAGATTGAAGTTTGGTATCAGCTCTACACATGCTGCAGAGTAGACAGCTCTATGTGTCACTGCGGTTTGTCATTCTTACTAAGCTTCAAGGCTCTGATTAAGTCCACAGATAGCACAGAGGCAATGGCCTGCGCAAAGGCTAATAATTAGAATTTAGATGACTGAATTCTTCTCACTTAATTGCTGGCTTAACATGCAACCATTTATATTTTTTTTAAATAAAACTTTCAGGAGGTGGCATGTTTCCTTGGAAATAGAAAGTTGGAAATATAAAACTTAAAAATCCATGGTGGTAGATGCCTTTCTGTGGAAGGTTACATGGTGTAGAGACATGGTGTACAAATGTGAATATGCTATCCAACTATGGGTTTGATTTAATTTTTTTTTTTTTCTGCATTAGGTATCATACGCCCGCCCCAGTTCAGCATCTATCCGTGATGCCAACTTATATGTGAGTGGACTACCCAAAACAATGAGCCAGAAAGACATGGAGCAACTCTTCTCACAGTATGGTCGTATTATCACATCTCGTATCTTAGTGGATCAAGTCACAGGTACATCTCAACTCTCGACACGCATCCTGAGCATAGACCCTTGAACATACGAAAGTGACATTTCTGTTCATTCTTTTGACTCAGGCATATCTCGAGGGGTGGGATTCATCCGGTTTGACAAACGGAACGAAGCTGAGGAGGCCATCAAAGGTCTGAACGGACAAAAACCATTGGGAGCTGCAGAGCCCATCACTGTCAAATTCGCCAACAATCCCAGCCAGAAGACAGGTCAAGCCTTACTGACTCAACTGTATCAGACAGCTGCCAGACGCTACACGGGGCCTCTGCATCACCAAACTCAGCGGTTCAGGTACTGAGCCCTTAACCCACACACTTTTATGACTCACCACTAACAACACTCTGGCAATCTAAAAACTCTTTAAAGCAATGTCCCTGGTCATCTCACTGTCTTCATCTTTGCAAGTGGATGCAAATCATTTTACAGCAATCATTTGACTTGTTTGTGTGTATACAAAGATGTTTCAGTGTGAGCTTTCATTTTTTATTGTTTATGTAAGCAATGTTGTCTGTCTTTCATCATGTTTGTAAATGTAAAAAAAAATATATATATATATATATGAGAGAGAGAGAGAGAGAGAGAAGGTGGGAAATACAAATGTATAATAGATCCAAAATGTAGTGTTGAGTTTAATCTTGGTTACAAACTGACAAAAAGCTAACACACTGAATGCCTCAGGACATGGACTGTATTCAAGACTATTATTTGACATGGCATCTGCTTGTGGATGAATGATTCCGGGCATGCGAAGGAGTAACGGGTGCCCCCTAGAGGCCTGCTGGTGAAGGAGCAACATTTGAACGTCTAAAGGCCCTTTTTTCCTTGTTTTAGATCTCACAACTAACCTTTGCATTCCCTTCATTCTCCCTCTTGCGTTGCAGACTCGACAATTTACTAAACGCCAGCTACGGAGTCAAGAGGTAAATGCCAAAGGTGTCCTTTCAAAAGCATCCATGCCAAAAAAAAAAAAACTCAAAACAAAGTGCCTGGAATACCGCCTGCTACTTCAGTCTGTGTCCATAGATTATCACCAATCATGTACCCATACTATAGAAGTCCTGCAGGAGAAAGAAATGGATGTAAATGTCCAAAAAGCAGGGTATTCTGGCATGGCTTTGTTTAAGTTATTGTCTTTTTATTTTAGAGGTATTATGTGTACGTCTTTCTTGAACTAACATTGTCAATTTCAGTTGCGTTAATGTCCCTTTTTTCACCAGCATGGACATGGCGTTTGCGTCTCCTCAGTGTTTTTAATTTGATTTTGAGTTTCAATCTGATTTGCCTTTCATTCCTCTCTATAGGTTTCTGTGTTTTGTTCCTGTGGTTTCAGTTGGACATTGTGATTCATGCTTTTAATTTTGTTTTCACACACAGGCTATGGTCAGCAGATTATGCAGATTGTGTGGGTGCTTGTCATTTTGTGAGAGCGCAGGTAGTTTTTCTGCCACAGTGAGGAAATGGAGGGAGGCTTCAAACTCCATACCTGACTACAAGATCATTTGATTTGAGACCAGCACTCAAAGTTGTGTTGAACTTCGGAATGACACCCATGGTAGCTCTCCCCCTCTCTTCCCCAGATTTTCGCCCATCACCATTGACAGCATGACCAGCTTGGCAGGAGTCAACCTGACGGGACCCACCGGGGCAGGATGGTGCATTTTTGTCTACAACCTGTCCCCCGAGGCCGACGAAAGCGTCCTGTGGCAGCTCTTTGGACCTTTCGGTGCTGTGACCAATGTCAAGGTCATTCGCGACTTCACCACCAACAAATGTAAGGGCTTCGGCTTCGTTACCATGACCAACTACGACGAAGCTGCCATGGCCATCGCCAGCCTTAACGGGTACCGCCTGGGGGACCGGGTGCTGCAGGTGTCATTCAAGACCAGCAAGCAGCATAAGGCCTGAAAAATGTGTGAGAAAGAGAGGGGCCAGTGGGGCAATCTCCTGCAACCTTTGGGGAAAGCACTTTGAGCTCCCTGTGTTTTCACTATGTTTGGGCCTGGACTTTAGTCTCTCTGACACAATCCCACACAACTCCATATTATATTACCACAAAACAGACATTCAGATGCACTTACACATGCGATCGTCCATACACAAGCAAAACACCAACCAACACCAATGGAGTTTTTGTTTTCTCTTCTACTTATGCGACATGAGAGTCCTTCCCTGTACATTTGCCTGGATTGAATTAGATGGGGGTACGTAGCTGGTTGGTTAGGTTGGGATAATAAGAGCTATCTATTTAGGAGACAGTTTAACGAATGTGACAGAGAATGTGTACTTAGTGCTTTGATTGAATTCAGGCAAATTTTTATCACAACTGATGAACAAGATGGAAAACGATCAAAATTTAAATGAATATGTGCAATTTACCCAAACACTTAACCCACAATCTCTCCCATTATGTTGCTGGAGAGAATGTAGTCACTTTTTTACACTTGGGCATTTTGAATCAGCGATTTTTTTAGATCAAAGAAAATGAAAGTAAAAACAGTGTTCTCTTATATACGTCTATTAAAATATAACTATATATTCAATATTTAAGGTGGTTATAATAGCCGAGTATGTAAGCATTTTCTAGAAACTTTGACTACTGTTTCCTGACCTGCATTAGGTGATGCCTAGTGTGAAGGCAGTTTCTCTACCCTATATGAGCCTGTTAGCTCAGGTCCAACAATTTAGGTTCAATATAAACTACTGGTCACAGAAGAGTAGTTGGGAAACCATTCAGTTCACCTCACAGTCTCGCGCCAACTAGTCCAACAGCTCACCTATCACAAATCACTGTTTAATATATTTACTATTTATCACAAGCTCCCTGGTTAAGATTCAAGATGCACATGACTGTCTGTAAAATTAGAGCAGTGGCAGTGCTCTCATGGTGACAGCGTTCGTTAGTGAATCTCCTGAGGGTTTATGAAAGATAAGGGGGAAACCATTTTACTACAACACATATCAAAGAAAATACTGAGGATTTTCACATTTTGCATTATTTATCATCACACCTTTAATGTAGATCACAAACCATTTTATATCACACAGCATAGAGAGATCCCTTTAACATGATTTTCTGGTGTCATCATTATTGTTGGAGAAAAGCAATGTACAGTATGTCAGGTTGGTAGTAGTACATATATATCAAAGTAAATTGGAAATATGTGCACTTTGGCACAGCTCAATGGTCTAAAGCAGGTTTGCCATGCTCTTGTGAAACAAATCTAGGGGCGTTTTAAAAACATATATATTTAATATCTTGTTTAAATACATATACAGGCATTGCGAGCCAAACTTGATGAACAAATATCCCTGCAGTTCAAAATCACTGAACATTCAAAACTGATTTAAAACTGCCCACCGCATTTTTTAAAAGTATCTTTAGAGGAGAAAATGACCACTTCCTCCAGCTTTGCCAAATGCTTTTAAAATGTATTTAAAATCTTTGTCCTACAACGCTTCAGAGAAAACTGAACTCTCTGCACTCTCAAAAGATTACTGTACAACATCATGCCTGACACCTTCTAGTACACAAAATCGCATTTGTTCAGTTCAGATCCATTAGACACTATCACAAAAATAGCATTTCCTAAAATATCTCAGCTGCAAAGAAATTATTTATGGCACCCTTGATGAAGCATTAAGGCCAACCTGTCTCACTGAAATGTCTGTACCAGACAGTAGTGAGATCGACCATGGGGAGAGCAAGTGTCTTTCATTATCAAGACATCTGCACATCATCATCGATTAAATGAGGTCAACTATATACAAGACATTTTTGCTTTTCTAAATGACGCTGTGTTAGCCAAAGAGGACGATCTCTTTGAATGGAGTACATTAGAGATAAATCTATTTTTATACATACAAAAGAACAAGATCTTGTGCTGAATTTTTACAGATCTTAAGCTTGTAAAATTGGGACATCGCATGGCTTTATTTTAAACCCTCTGATCTTTGTAGAGTGAAGAGGAACAAGCATGCGGTGTATGGGTGGGGATTTAGGGAGGGGGCGAAGGAACCTTGTATCTCGTACAAACTTTACTGTTCAACCATTTGAAAATTGACAGCTAGTTGTATAACTTGACACACATCTGTACGCAGGCGCTTGTCGCTCACATCTCAGACCTGAATTTGTGTACAGTGCTGCTTGAATGATGGTGCAGTGAAGTGAAGTTCTTTGACTTGAGAATCCTCGACAAAGCTGTGGAGACGCTGGCTCATTGTCAGGCTGAAAACTACTCTAGGCTGCAAACCGGTAAATGAATAGTCAGATGGGGACACACATTCATAATGGACATCGAGCATGATAATTTATCAGATGAGAAATTAGCCAAATAGCCAAAGAATTGCGTTGTAAGGCAGTACAAAGAAGGACACATTAAGACTAACTATATTATTCCCTGTAATCGCTGTACTAATCTATGTTATATATTAAATAAGGACCCTCAACAATTTAAGTTATTTTTGTTGTGAGAATATTAGTTGCGCATATCAGTTTGCATTACAACCTATGTAAAGCCACCTCTAAAATAACCCCTGCAAGCATCCTCATTTGCACACACTTTGTTCAGAACTTATCAAAATGCATATCAAAATTGATATCGGGAAAAAAATGCACATTTGCCCTTCATTAGCATCATCTACTTGTCTTGAGTGACCAAGTTTTGAAAATTGTCAACATTGCACCATTTCACAGAATAGGTCGGCTACTGTTTCAGTCCCAATGATTGTTGCTGCTGTCTCTAGAGCTACAAGAGACCAGTGAAAACCCACCTCCCTAATTGGCCACACAGTCGATACAACTCCTTATGTATCAGTAGAGAGCCAAGGACCATGGCAGGAAACAGTACCACAACTACTGCTTGAGCAACAACAATAATCATTAAAAAAAACAAAAAAACTTTCCTATGGAACAGTAAGTGCAATGTGCTTTGTTTTTATATTGACTGAGAACAAATGATATATATTTTTAAAAAAAGAAATTAAATGTCACACTGAAAAGGTTTGCAGAAAAGTGAAAGGAGCATTTGAGGACAGCGCTCATTGAGAAATTTGCATAAACGCTCCCTTTTGCCCCTAATTTGTGCTCTGTCCATGCAAAATAAGAAACTGCATATTTGGCATTTATATTAGATCAATCCTTGAATATGTTGAAAGGGATACTGTTGATATATCATGAGTCTTAGCCCATGTCAATTCAAATATCATTTATTTCCTGTAACCGATTGCTTTCATTTACATATCAATATTCACTTGTTCAATTAGCGTATTTGTGTTGTTGATGTTGCCATAGAGGACACACATGATGATCAAACAATTTTGTTAGGTTGCATTGATTGGGTACAATTCTTTCTTTTTTCTTCCATTTATTGAATTAGTTGCAGTTTTTTACAGTGTATGCAGATTTTAGACTTAGTTAGATTTTTTTATTTCAATCAAACTGTGTTTAATTGTGTTTGTAAAAGTCTGTGGTAGCTTTTGTTGCAACATAAAATAATTTAAACTGAAAAAATTCAAAATAGCGCCAACAAACTTGTATTATTTGGGCGACTTTAAGCTTGTAGTTTTAACTTATTGTTAACTTAAAAACTATTTATTATGATTATTATTATTATTGCCTCGTACAAAGTATGTTTTGTGTATATTTATGGTTTATTTCATTATATTTGCAAGTTTAAAAGATTTTAAGTTTGCCAAAATTGTGGTTACACCATTTTGTTTCTTAAAGGGGGACAAATAGAAAAACAGCTTTAGAAGTACAATTTGGAATCGTTCTCCATAGTCAAAGAATGCACTGCTATATTTAACTAATTGAAGTGTATAAACATACATGCTGTGTGCTAGATGTTATGCCTTTACTGCCTGTGTTCCGTTTGTCTTGTTAAATGAAAATCTTTTAATTATTTAATCTAATCACAGTCTTGTTTTTTCAAACCATTCTGAGAACCCTTAAGACATGGGACAGCCCCTACAGCCAGACGCTGGCCCACTTTTGGGTTGAGCAATTAGCAAGGACCAAAGGGATGTCCCGAGTTTGAGCCCCTCACAAGACACCTTCCTCTTGTCAGTTATTGTCAATGAAGCCAACAAAGCTAACTCAAAAACATATTTATTCAGGCTTTGGCTTCGGGAAGAATGTCTTGTGAGTTTTGGAGAATGACAAAGGGTAGAGTGGTCTTCTGTTTCTCAACCAACTGTATTTTGTGTCTATTTATTTAGAGGGGACGCAGTAACTTAGTGATGTTTTTCTTACATTTGCCTGGAATGGTAAAACAAATCAAACGGCAAAATGATCAAAAAACAATTACAAAATCGCATACTTCCAAACATGACCAAATCGAACAAAATTGAACAAGGAAAAATAAACCTTTCAGTTTAGTCTAGGATATTTATTACTGGGATTTCTGCTGAAGACGCTTGAAGACTTTTTCATGGAATTGTTTAATTATTTGTACTTTACATGCCAGAAAAAAATAAAAGTTACAAATACCTTGGTGCATTGTTCTTACTATAAAAAACAGCTAATAATGTTATGTATATGCAATGAAAGGTAAAGACAAAGCAATAAGTCATGGGTGTGGTTTAAAGAATCATTTCATAATTATCCAATTGTCATAATCACTAGTATATCATTGAAAACTTGTTACACAATTGTTCTATTCTATTAGAATAAACGATAATTGCTCAATTAGGCACACAATCCTCAGATGGTTATTAAAAAGTTTTATTTGAAACAATGATGATACAACATCGATATGTCTTTAAAAACAACACATTTATAGCTATAGTTAGAGCGTCATGGAATCATTTGATGAGAGTGAGGTCTAGAAGGCGCCTTGGCTGTAGTCCCTGTGGTCCCTCTGGTTTGAGAAATCTGTAATGAGCACATTTTTCATTCATATCATGAAATACTTTTCTCTGGCTAGAATCATTAATTAACGGTTACCTAATGGGTACTATCTATAACTGGCCTAATAATATTTCACATTAACTACAATACAACTAAAATAAGAGGTTGTTTTTTGACACACACTGGTCACTGCATATGAAATCTTTAGGGACACTTGATCTATAGTATAGATCAAAAGAGAAGCTGACGGCAAAAAAAAAAATCTCCAATAAATTTAAAACTCCAAATGAACTTCCGTCTTAAAAGAAATATTACCTTGTGCTCTGATGTCCTGACCTGGCAGTCTCCCTGTCTCTTCAACTGATTCCTCACAAAACGCATGGACGCTACACTCAAATACAGCGATTCACAAAAGTACATCTGCTTGGTAAAAATATCTGCAATTGTATGACTCATATATTGTTCTTCTAACTTAATCTACAGTCATCTCCCTTGAGGGCATCTTGTTTTCATCTTCACACATACCAAGCCTACTCACCGATGCATCACTCCTACAGTTCATCATGATCGTCTGTCAGGTCTACGTTCTTGGGCTCCTTGCAAATGGCTGGTGTGATGAATTCGATCAAATATTCACAGCGGCTAGGCTCTGAAGTAGAGGTTACGACCGTTTCTGTTCCACAAGTTAGCTTCACCTAAAATGGGAAAAGGTTATAGATTTGTGATAAATGTAGTGAACATTTGATTTAATAAAAGCTTTGGAGGCTCACCGTAGTGGACCTATTTGGTCCCTGCCAGCAGCCGGTCCCATGTTCATATTTCATCACAGCGTAGATGTTATCCTCAGGGCCTGCCCATTTTCCCCATGTACTAAATGCACGAGGACACAGTTGAAATTATATAGATATTTACAGCACAAGGCGAAGCAATGTTTTCTTACCCAAGGTTAGTTTCCGATCCACCAAATTTAGGCTTTTGGGATACTCTGTTGAATGGGCAGAGCTTGTAAACGTACCTAAAAAGGTGTTATAAAGTTATTCAAAGTGTGTTTATTACCAAATTAATAATTTACATGGATTTGATGTTGGCATGCTATGTAATTCATACCCTGAAAAGATTAGAAAGGCTAACAAATGACTAATGCAGGCAATTCTAAAGCTATGCCCCACAATATTTCAGTTGTTCCACTTCAAAGTGTTTGACAGTTGCAGAAATAAATAATAGCAGGTGCGCTAAGACAAAGGCTGTATGCTTCGGGGACACTTATGCTCCTATCCCATTGCGGTTCAGTAGGGTCATAACATCCATGGATCTATTAACAGCAGACAGTCTTGACACAAACATGGCTATACCATAAGACTATATACCAGATTGGCAAAATTTCCAGCAGAGAGTCCCAATTACATTTAGTTTTCACTGCTGGCTCACTGAACAACCGATTTCATTTTTGAGGTGATTCGACTCATCGTCTGGATGCAAGATTATTCTTGTTTTAGACCTAGTTTATACCTGGACATTCAGTGTCAATAGCTATGGCTCCTGAAGCAACTCTGCCACTGTATGCTTCTGGAATACACAGAATTTGATGGGAGACTGGGCACACAAAATAAACAGAATGTGCTACTGTCTGGTTTTCTACACCCGTAGATCATATTTGTACATGGGAATTATCAACACTGATCTAAAAGAATCTAACAGAAGGAAGGGCAGACACGTTTGGCTGCTGTAAGATATGTCAGATAGAGCACAAAAACACAGAAGGCTTTGTTTCTTCCAAAATTGTACATACTCTCCAGTCGTCAACTCGTAACACTGGCTGTACATGTATGCAAACTCAGCGTTGGGTCCGAAGTCAAAGGAGATTTCCTTTTCAATGTTTCTGTAAAACAGAAAAAGCAATTTGATACCATCTTTTAGGATCTTCTCAATTTAGTGGAAGCATACTAAAAAGGCAAATGTTAGCCATTGTACAATTTAATGGGCTCCACAAAAGTTAAGACAGTAATTCAATAACATCACTTGATTGCATTACTGTCAGAAAACCTCCTTTAAATGCAGACGGAGTACTTACCTGATCTGATCATCTACTTCCCGGAGAGCTCTCTCAGCCTCATCAAATTCATCTCTTGCTTTCTGAGCAACTGGAAACAAGATAAACATTAAATGAACCTCAAATCAAACTTACTAACAAACTTATTATTTTGTTGCGGCTTTAGTAAGTAAGTGTATGCATGTATATTTTGTACCAGTACCACACACAGGCTTGCCTTGGTAAATGTCAGATTAAAAAGAAAGTGGCCATATCTTCCCTGATGCTGTACAGTGTGACTCACGCAAAGCTGACTCATTTCGTTTTGTATGCCTACCGTCGATGAGCTGCTGCGTTTCTTCATCGTAGGGTGGCATAGTTCCTTCATCGTCTTCGTCAGGCTTCTTTTCTTGAGTTTGCGTTGTGGGAGGGCTCTGCATGTCAAATACAAACCTTGCAGTGAGTCACTAACAAAACTCGTTATCACAGATGTTTCAATAGAACAACTTTACTTTATAATCATCCGAATCTTCATCCTCCTCATCATCATCCTCTTCATCGTCCTCTTCCTCTGGGATGTCTTCGTCAGGGTATTGCTCTGAGTCGTCAGTTGTTGGTGGTTCCTTAATATCCTCCTGTGGTGTCTCTATGGGAGTATTTGGTTTGGTCTGAAAAAAAAGGAACAAAAATTCAGTTTTTCTCCTCTCACTATAATCAAATTACATCAACCATACCTCAGAAATGTACTTGTCTTTGATGCTATTCCAAACAGTCTCAAAAGCAGCTAGGTCAACTCTGTCCACTCCCAGCAAAACCTGTAATGTAAGATTTTTTTTCTTTTATGGTAGAATGAGTTAGAGAGAACTTATAATAATCGCTACCTGAGCTTCAACGTCAATAAAAGATCCATCTGAATCTGGGTCAAGCTCTTGGTGAGTGAGAAGCTCTGCAACTGAGATGCTGAGACAGGAAAGCAAAAAAGGTTCAGCTGAAATTCATCCGTCATAAAGCATAATAGATGAACTTTTTATTATAAACATATTACATTTAAATTATATCATGAAACTCACCTGCCATCTGCATCATCATCTAGTTCAGCAAACACCTCAGCCATCTTAGCTTTATCTTTTTCCATGCGAATGACCGCCTTTTGGTCTAGATAATAACAGTGAGTATTATTACATATACAGTGTATTGTTCATGACTTCAGTACTAACATACAGTGAGTACAGTATGCAATTACCTTCCCATGCCTTGAGATGGCGCTCTTTAGCTTCTTTCTCAGGCTTCTCTGCAACTTCTTTGACGGATCTCAAAGCCTCTACCTTTGCATCCATATCCTTTTTACCGACTTCAACCTCAGCCAATTTGGCCTATTGAAAAATATTATAGAATTTATAATCTATTACGATAAATAATGTATTCTAAATCAACCTTTAAACTTAACAGCATCTCTACAGTACCTTCTTCTCTTCTATACCCCTTTTAGCCTCCTGGATGAGTTGCTGCTTAAGCAAAAATCCCTCTTTAGCAACTTCAGCTAGCTTTTGAAGGCTTTCCCTCTCCTTGCGTCCCAACTCCCTTTTAGCAGGTAAATTAATTAATCATGTGGCAAACAACTTCAACAGTTATATTCATGAATAAAGTTACATACTTGCATGTGTTCTGACAGTTCGAACCGCTGTTGTACTCGTCAGTGGTGTCACAACAGTCTGGGAAAATATATCATTAGTGTATGTTTTCCAAACATAAAATCATTCATCTATAGCTCTCTCTATATATACATATATATATAAAATTCTCACCACAGATGCCATCATTGACACGAGAGGACGGAATGAAACCAGGTCTGAAACCTGCATTTGTGCAGTGGAAATGACCATTGGGACAAGCAGAGGTGCCTATTGTTTGATATAGAAAAGAATAGTTAAACTTGTCATAACTTTATAAAAACTATTATTCCTTCTGCCTTGTGTCACCTGGCTCATCTGAACCATCGGGGCAGTCACAATAGTCATCATTCACTCTGTTGAACGGGACTGTGCGGGAGCCGTCCAAGCAGGTAAAAGGCTTCCCTTCCTCGTAGAATGGTCGTTCTGAAAATTAAACTACTGTTAATGCAGTCTATATTTGATTTAACTTCTGTATCTATGGTTCTCATAGCTTACCTGAAAAAAAAAAAAAAAAAATTCTTTGTGTTTGTATAGAATATAGCAAGCAATTGTGACACTATAGAGTAGAGATTATACATATAGTACACACACTCATTCAGTGAGTTTCCTTTCTTTTCATGACTATTGACTGTAGATTCACACCCAGGCTGTATAAGGGCTATTAGACCAAATAAGGAGAGTGGTGGGTGCTGGGCCAGATGACCTGGCCTCCACAGTCACCAGACCAGAACCCTATCCAGAGCTGGACCACAGAGTGAAGGCGAAAGGGCCAACAAGTGCTAAGAATCTGTCTCCTGGTGACAATATCCAGGCATGCATCAGAATTGGGGCAAAATATATACCATTTTATACCCTCTTAGAGAGATTATACCAATTATTTTCTGAAAGGATATAGCTTGCATTTTCTATAGACATTTATATATGTGTGCATTCTTTAAATAATAATTATGCTAAATCTTTAATTCTTACTTGATAAAGGGACTCCCCTTGGTCGGTGAACTTCCACGGCTGATATCCCCACAGCAAACAACAGCAGCACGAAAGAGTGACAGTGCATTGTTGTCACTTGGTAAAAACCTGCCCCAAACGAACACGATATGTTACAAATATTATACTAGCTAAATAGCACAATAAACAGTGTAAGGGAATGGTTGAGTCCCGCTGCGGACATAATAGGTTTTTAGTCTCGTCAAAAATGTCTACTTTATCTGCTGTTAGCTAGCATCCAAACATGCTAACAAGCGAGCGTCGATAACATGTCCTTGTTAAACGTATGGAAAATGTCATTTAAGAAACTATTCAATGCATTTCCTCTCCAACGTGTACCTACTGTATAAACGATGAGGCAAGACAAGAAATGTATCAGATTTGTCTTTAGGCAACAGAGACAGCAAAATCAATGGTGAAAGCGGTTCCAGCGTTTACTTCCTCTACATACCACGCGCATGCGCCCCGGAGCCGCTGTGACTGGTGCAGAAGGGATCCATGGGAGCGACACGTGCAGCCATCTCAAGACAACAGGTAACGGAGGAGAGAGTTCGGGTTGTTGGAATGTTTCAGAATGTTTCAGAATGATATTACAATACCATATGTTTTGTATTTGTAGTTATATTTTGGTTTAACTATACACACACAATATCAGTTGTCAGCTAATTGTAGTAATTGAGTCAGTATTTTAACAGTTCAGCGATTTAAAAAGAATCATGGCTCCAAATGAACTGTTAATCATTGCAGAATGAAATACATGTGTTTTTTTTGTTCCAGTCTATTTAGTCTATCACTGCATTAACAATAAAGTTAAAGACCCAAATTGATTGATCACATGTATAATCGCCCAACTAGCTTCTTGATTATCGAAAACGTCGCCCCTTTTCTACATTGTTTTAGTCATGGATGGTTTTAGTAAATTTTAAATTATTATTTTTTGTTTTTGCAAGAAAACAGAATGTCTGAAAAGTACATCCTCATAAATCCGAACACAGTTAATGCATTTATTATAAAACTCTTTATTTGTATTTGTAACACAGTTTACAGTACCGAACAGTGAAATAAAAGAAAAATATACTGATATATACTATCTTATTGTTTTATATATAGATGTTTGCTTATTAAATGCATTTTATTCACAAAATGACACCTCAGCTCTGTCAAAAGGATAAACCTTCATAAAAAATAATATAATAAAAAAGAACTCGGACACATTTACACATTACAACAAGATAATGTACACTTATTACAATCATTTCATTTTGTTTTCACCCCTTTAATAATCTTTCTTGGTAACAAACACAGGAATTAAAGCCCAGAGAAGTCTGTGACACCCTAACCTGTTATCTTGGCCACCAGGGGGCGTTACATAACCAGGTTAGTTTTCAGTTACTAAGAAACAGAGGTGAGAGCACTAACATGGTTAAGGACACGTTTATGTGAAAGTCACAGCCATGGTGACTACACAAGCTTATAGGTAGCCAAAACAATTTATCTCGAATGGAAAGTTTATTATGCATTGAGAAAAGATAGCCTACTGACTACTTTACAAAGACGTGTGATTCGGCCTACAGGATAATAATCAGTGACAGCCCATGAGTGAACCACCATGACAGACTGCACACCACCTGACACAAACAGTCTGCTTAGAAACCTGATGAAATAAAGTGCTATTACAAAGATTTTATTTGAACAATTAACGTGGACATTTGCAACAAAAAAATAATAATGAGGTGAAGATGTGGCCTGTAGTGCTTTAGTGAGTCACCTTGCACCTCAAAGTGGTTATTCATCAATATGACTTTGATAAATTTCTATTTTAAAATCCAATAATACATTATGTACAAAAGTGATAATGCTTATCGCTATTATCTTCAATAAGTGATTTGTTGCCAGACCAGCCACCAGAATGATATAAAAATAAACTGTACACAAACAAGAAAACTCTTCCCATGGTTTTCTTTTCATCTTAAAAACAATGGCAGCAATCAATCAATTGAATAATTTTAATAAGAAACAATTGCTACAGTATTGTGTTTGTATGGCAATTAAATATTGACGTTTTTGTAGCTTTTGATAATACAACAAGCCACAAAAACAAAGGAACATCTTAAAAGCAAAAGGCTGATGCATATGGGAATCAATTATTCAAAATGTGTATTGGTGATCCTGGATGTCCAGTTCACCAGAGGGACGAGTGTGGAGGCCCTGAGGCTCTGCTCTGTCCTGGGACAGAGCTGATCAAACACACAGGCTCCTGTTGCACCGAGCAAGTTACTGGCCCGCAGAAACTTGTCTTTCCTCAACAACAACACACAAGATGGTTTTATTTGTACCCTGTTAAAACAAACACTGAAAAAAACCAGTGCCAATTAAATATGAAGACCACATAACAAATGTGAAAAATGTCATGGACCCTAAAGCCATCTTCCCTGCTTATCAACATCACACTTCCATTGGCAAAATATAATTATAAAGGCATCAAAAATGACTCTTTTCTATGACTCCCATTCTTATTTCCTCCAGGTAACCAACTATAGGATAATCATTTTAACATTAATACAAAACAAGACATTCTTTGTGCAACAATGAGATGACAGCAGTGTCCCTCTTATCCTCCATCCTCAAATGCAAATGAGCACATGGATTTCACATCGTAGGCATACCGTCACAATATAAATATACTAGAATCTATTAAAATTCAATTCTACATTTAACAGGAGTAAATCCTGCAACTAGCATTAAGGCAAAAGCATCAAACAAAACATGATTAGGGACTGCCACACTCTTTTTGGCCAAGTCGTGCCTCTTTTTCCCTGACATTCTCCTTCCTGATTTTCAAAATAAACCATCCTTACAATGGCTCCACCTGAAGTTTCCCATTCCTTACTTTGGTGAAAATGGTCGTTTATCAGAGAACATTAACACTCAGTGGAGGTTTCCATCAGCTGATGATGGAATACTGTACCTTTTGAAATTATTTAGCAACTGCTAAACAGTAAATTATAGGCAGAACTTATGCTTGAAAGCATCACATGGCTTATCATCTTTAAAAAAAAGTAATAATTAAAATAATTGTAATCTGGTTCATTGGCGATAGCGGAGGTGGCTATGATTGCTCTGCAGCTAGAGTTCTGAGTTATTTCACCAGAAGAGCAACAAAGGAAGACTTTACAGCGTAAACCACAAAAACGCATGTGTTTGAGACACGGCACAATACCATAAACAGTAAGAGAATTTGCAAACAAGAATCAATCCAAAATAAAAACTAAACTCAGACGCGCCTGTCCCACAATGCATTGCTTCACGACAGCTTCGTTCAGGAAGCTGGTGTTTCAGAAAGGCACAGAGCCATCTTGCACCAGTAGCACGTTGTGTAAAGGGTAACAGGGGTTAATGGGACCAGGACGGCCCCTTCGTTGCAGCATCCTCCTCTTCTTTCTCTGTTTCCATCTTTTTGACAAAAATTGGAAAAGTCACTTAGACAGGTCTCTTTTTTTTAGAGGAGAATGTTAGTTGATAATCTCACTGACATGGACTACTAATACTGACTGAACACTAGTACGTACTCCAGTAAAGATGGCTTTTTCCAAAGAGATCACTGATTAGTGTCCCTCACTAAATGCACGCACACAAACTGACAGTGAAATATATGTACCACAGTATAGACCACAAGTCTACTGCATGCCTAATGCATGCTCACATTATTTGTGTTTATAATGTGACATACTTTGGTGTCCCTTTATGTGTGTGCATTTCTGTGCTACGCTCTCTTCAGTTTCTATAATAATCCTCCAGTTGTGGGATGTAAAATCCATCTAAAGACGTGTGACCACTCCAAATCTACAGTTGATGTGTAACTTCTCTTTAAGCTTCTTATTTATTCCCTTTTTGAAAAATAGATTCAAAGGTCTGTATTGTCATTGCAGTCTTTGTTTGTTCTTTGTTTGGCCATTAAAAGGTTTAGCAAAATAATGTGTGCAACTGAGGAGAGAGATATTAAAGCAACTCTCATGTATCTTCGGCTTGTGAAGAAGAATCCTCCTCTTCCTCTACAGGGCTTGTGTCAGACAGTCTCTCCTTGTCGGCTCGCACTTCCAGATGCTCTTTCTCCTGCTCCTCCTCCTCCTCCATGGCCACCTCGTCCTCCTCCTCTATAGTATCTTCAGTCTCCTCCATCTCCTCCTCCTTCTTTCCGTCCTCCTCGTCTCCCTGGCTGCTGTCCTGCCGTCCCACATGATTCTCTGCTTTGTCATTGTCTTCTGCTTGTTCTGGCTCTGAGCTGTCCTCCAGTGTGAGCTCAAATTGAAACTTGTCCATGCAGGCATTCAGCTCTTTGTCCTTTAGTGGTGGAGGGGAGGGGCTCTGTGGGATGGTGCTCTGATACCAGTCCCTGTTGTCCTCCAGCGTGTCCAGGATTTCTTGGGCGTCAGGGTGCACCAGATCTCCCCACGTCTCCCACAGCGGGTGCACGATGTAGTCGATGAAGCCCACCTACATGGAGCAAAAGACAAGACATGTGATTTTTACGCGATTAAAAATGCACAAGGCTCACTGCTGGGATCTAAGGAAGAGCTGCAGTTAGTGAGGAATGCACCCACAGCGTTCATAAGCGTCTACAAAGATATGATTCTGGGTTTAAAATTTGATGTTGCCAAAAAGTGTAAAGGCAGTCAAATTATAAAGTTTCAGAATATTGAGAAGTAGGTCAAAAAGGGTTAAAAAAAACAGGTGTTCATTGGTGTTATCCGTAATAGAAAAACCAAACAAAAATCCATGGCACTTTTTGTTTGTGGCATCAATATTAAGCCTGCTCACTATACCTTATGTTAACGTAATACATAAACTATAGAGTTACTACTTACTGATACAAGTGTGCCCAATATTTGACAGCAAATATTAAAGGTGCACTGTAGTCAAGTGTCAATATTTGTGGCCACAGTTAATAAAGAACTCAATTGTTAAGCTGGCATGTCATTTGCAACCGTCAAATTATCTTATATTATAGAAACCTGTTTTAGTTTACTGTTTAAACAGGTTTAGAGACACAAGCTATAACAGCTATAAAGCTAGTAAGATTCTCAATTAAATTCTTAAGTATTTACTGTACGTGCATTTTATTTTAAAGTAAGATCTGTTTATGTATAACCTAAGCCTGATTTACTTTCTTTTTTTCTTTTTAACATTGAAAATAATGTGACATCAAGATGAACAGGACTTTCATGCTCAGTTTTCCCTCTCCATGGACTTTGAACATTATCTTTCAGTCAAAACTATTCGCTAATCTTATCGTAATCGCAATGTTTCTTTAAAACCGTGCAATCCTAGTGCACTGTGGAGCAGTGTGAGTGGAAGGTCCAAAGCATTCCACATGAGAGATATGGTTTGGCTTGGAAATGGCTTAAAAATTAAGCACTTTTTATAGAAGCGAGAAAATTGCCTCACTTCTGTCAGTGTGCCCCAGGGCAGTAGTAGTTTACACAACCGTGTGTGGAGTTATTGAATAATGACATGAGATACTTCTTTGAGTGTCCAAAAAGCACTAAAAACTGATGCGTCATTATTAAAATTAGCAATCTCTATGGAAACAAGTAAGACGACAATATTTTTTTCCAAAATAACTACTAGAATTGAATAAATGAACAATAAGTGTATTGTAATTATTAAAACATACATCAAGATATGTCAGTTATAAACAAAAGTATACTATAAAAGCACAACTACAAAACAACAGGGACAAGAGACAAAACAAGGCTTTTAACCAGGATGTAGCATGTTTTCATAAGTCTTGTGTGTTGGAGCCTTGTGTCTTTGAGATATTGTGTTCCAAAATAATTGTATACTGTAGTTATTTTTATGGCATACATTCATTTACCATTTATTTATGGCACGGTGGCTGAGTGGATAGCACTCTCGCCTCTCAGCAAGAAGTAATCTTTATTTATATACCGCCTTTTCACTGCAGATCTGAGTCTCAAAGCGGTTTACAATTGTTCATTTTTGGGCAATTGTCTCACACTCCACACAGAGATGGGAGCAGGGTCGCCAGTACAGAAGGCGCATGCTAGAACTATTGGACATATTTTTAGTGGTAGGGGAAACTGGAGTACCCGGAGGAAACCTACGCAGACACGGGGAGAACATGCAAACTCCACTCAGAAAGGCTCCGGGTGCTCCGGTTTTCCCTACCACTAAAAATATGTACAATAGGTCTGGCATGTGCCTCCTGTACTGGCACCCCCACTCCCAAAAAAAAAAAATTAGCTATTGTAAACCGCTTTGAGACTCTGATGTGCAGTGAAAAGGCGGTATATAAATAAAGATTACTTACTTACTTACTTACTTATTTTGTGTTAATTTACCTGGCTCTTTTCTACAGATGCTGTATGTTTGTCGCACATAGGACTGATCTCCATCCCTCGCTCACGCTCCTTGTCTCCCTGCCTGAAGAACTCCTCCATGATGCGCTCCGTCCATTGGCGATACACGGCCAAAGGTTTGGTTGGATTACTCAGGTCAGCGCAGTGCACCATATTCCTCAACACCTGCTCAGACGCAACATGTATAAGTACAAGTGCACCAGGTATTCTTATATATGTCCATTAACAACATCTAGTAACAAATGAATGCAATTCTCAGTACAGTATTCTCAGTAATTTGCCACACAATGGCAAATTAAAGTGATTGTCTTTGTTGATAGAGTAGAATAGACACAAACATACGTCCAGTGAAAACAAAGCTATTGTAAGTTCAAGCCTTTGCAAAATTCAAAATGGTGGGGACTACACAAAGAGGGCCTGAAAAATATATTCATATATATTTTTGTGACAGATGCATTATAGTAAATCATCTTTTAAACATGAAATACATACATTGGATCACAGGAGCTGTTTATTTTGTTACGGAATGTGTGAGTACTTCATATAAATTACTATATCTTAGGCTGTGGTATTGGCTTCAAATGAATCTTAATTTGACATTTGTAGAAGTGGTATGTTTAGAGAATTTCAAGGAATGTTAAAGTATTCTGTTTTTTCAGTTTTACTAGAGGAACTGGGAAAGACCTCCGTCAATGCACAGTGGCATTTCTTAAAGTAATTGCTGGTAATTAAATGAAATAGTTTGTTCCATTTCAGAACATTTTTGGAAAATTTTGCTCATTCTTTTTATATATATATATATATATATATATATATATTATTTTGAGCTATACAAAATTACAACATTCTGCACCATACAGAAAGCACTGTACCCATTTACTAGAAAATTAATAGGATGAAGGACAAAACAAAACATAACAGGTGCAGGGAGGATCTGTACAACATATATTATTATTTTTTATTAAAAACATTTTTTTGTTATGTTGCTATCTAAATAACAGACAGACAGAAAGACAAACATTCCATAGGGATTAAACTGAGGTCAGCATCTTCCAAGCAAACTTGAGTAGACTAAAAACCTCTCTACCTAAGCTTTGAGTTTATTGTACCTGTATGCGGTCTGTGTAGTGGTCCAACAGCAGCACTCCCGAACTGGTGACTTTCTTGGTCTCTACCATTGTTTTGAGATCTGCCAGCAAACTCATGTGCTTCGACATATCTGTGGCCAAAACCTTTGGATCACAGTAAACAGCACAGTGATTAGAAACAGAGATGTGGGGATGTGTGCACAAGATGGAGAACAGACACACACCATATCAATAACCAGTTTCCTCAGGCTCTGTCTCTGCCTCTTGCTAAGGTTCTGGAAAATGTCACAGTTGTCTTCATGAAGCAGTTTAAAGCCCACTGCCAAGTGGTGGTTCTCCAGCACAGATTCATCGTTGTACATCAAGGCTAACTCTGAGTCTAAATGGAGAGAAAAACAATACACAGGTCAACATGAGTTTGTAGACCAGCAATCCAGGATTTTATAGATAACTACACAACTCATATGTTATGCAATAAATTAGATGTGCAAAGAGGATTTTTGACCCAATATATACTACCATTTGATTATTCAGATCACTAATATCAATCAGCTTTTCAGTATCACAATTGTTCTCACTTGTGTTGATGAGAAACTGATTGGACACTCCTGGATGATCCACATCATGAATGGCGGCAGCAAATAATGCAGCTAGTATCTCAAGATCAGTGAACACAGCCTGCAAAAAAATGTACACATCACCGTAGTTTAAAAGTATGTCATATGTGTGTATGTATGTGATTATGGGGTTATTTACATCCAGAGCTGGTGTTGACAGCAGGACATGGGTGGACTGAGTGACATCGGCCGCATGGAGGCTGTTGTGGTAGGCCACGTTGGCGTGATAGTGGTCTTCTAGTGTCATTATGTACGTGACAAATGTATCCACAGGGATCCTAAAGGTCTTTAGTAGATCTCTTTCCTACAAAAGTTTACAGTATAAGTAAGTATGAACAGAGGAAATGTATAAAATAATTAATGTAAGTCAATTCCAGTTGTCTCTTTCTTACCTGGAATATGGCAAACATGGTGCAGCTGAGGGGTCGATTATTAGAAAACTCTGCCACTCGAAAGATATTAAGGCCCCACTTGTTTAAGTCATTCAATTCCTGTAAAGTGCAAAAGGTACACGTGGTGAAGATCTTCTTATATTATTTTGTAATACAAAATAACTTATTATTTTATATATCCTTTTGAGGTCAAGATTTCAGGATCATTGAGGCCACAATATAATTGTAGGCAACTACAATTTAAATTTTTGGTTTACAGCAAAAAAGTCAACATAAACATAAAGTGAAATGAAAAATGTATTTGATAATACTACCTCATACCAGAAGTTCAAACTATGCCATGAGTGTTTTGACTCTCAGGTTTCCTGGTGAAATTGACTTGAATGACCATAATACATGTTTTTACAAGACTATTTTAAGAATATACATGATATTAATTTGATACTGTGACATCTCTAGTTGATATAATATAGTAATTTTCTATAGACGTACCCTCGCTAAAGCATCCTCATGTTCGGTCTTGACGCCAAAGCGAGGCATGGCAGAGATAGAAAGGCTGGAGCTGTGCGTGAGCTTCTTCACTCCACTGATGTGACACATGGGCTTTTCTCTTTCTCTTTGCGTCGGTGATGGGATCTCTACTTCGTTCTGCTTATCTGAGGATGAGCAACAGGCCAGGGTCAAACACCAAAGGATGCATTTGACCTTGTGTAAAGGGGAGGGGATGGTGTTATTTCTGCTGGTTTACTCAGAGTCTGTACCTAGAAAGGTTGTGGAGATGTATTCTGACACCTGGTTCCCTGAGCGACTCATCTCTGACAAATGGGACAGTTCCCGGTTCAGCATCCTTTTGAACTGAAACAAACACAGCAGCAAGTTAGTGATTCCAATCACAGAACACGGCTTCGGGTTACTTGGTTAATAATACAATATTCCTCAATATTACAGTAGGAATACGCATTGGAATATGTTCTGTTTTTGTTACAAGCATTACATAAGAATTATTTTAAAGTAATAACTAAAAGGTAAGAGAAATATAATCGTGAATCATGCCTCTTAATTTGCAAGGCTGGGAACATCCTGTTCAAAACCCCGGTTACTTTTAGTGCCTTGGTCATCGATTCACTGCTGTAACAATATAGCATTGCTCCATGTTGCATTCATGTACACTAGTAATAGTCAAAAAGTGCTATCATTCCAAAAGTGTTTGAATGATCACGTGATGAAGTCAGTTACAGGTAACTTTTATTTCTTTGAAACAGAGTTTGTGTGTGTTGTACTAAAAGGACTGTTGACTTTTTATTGCTAGACTCATGTGAAGACAGTTTGGACCGGACCTGGCTCTGTGTCCCACTGACTGATCTTTCACACATAACTGTCGCCATGGAAACCCGGAGCGGTTGCTGTGGTAACTGCCTCCTCAGTCCTTCAGCTCGTTGCGAGCGGGAGCTGCTCGGGTGACAATCAGAGGCAGGTGTCCGACCTTTACCAAGGTCAGTGCTCCTCTCACTGCTTTAAGTCTGCTCTCCCTCCTGCACAATGTAAACAATACTTCTCTCCACTGCCCTAAATCCACTCATCATAACTGCTTTGAACATCTGCACATGTTTATTGGGAATCTCTCCCCCAAGACTCAAGATTAAACGTGTTCCCTGACCATAAATGAAAAAAGAGCCAATCAAACCCAGTGGCACACTTTTGTATCAGTCAAAGCCCAAATCCTCCCTGTCTATCTCGCTCTCTCTCGCTCGTTGCTTCCCTAATGCTGTAACGCTGAGTCATAGCTGCCAACCAACACTTCCACGGTGCCAGTCTGAGAGCCAGGACAAACAACACTCTGTCACTGACACTGACTAATGAAGCTCACGTGAGAACGGTGCACATGCATGACCACAAACACGCGTGTAGATCGCATATGTCTCACTCCCAGGGGGTCATTGTCTCAAGACCATGTTGCACTGTAACTGTTCAAGATTCAATATTCAAGAATTTATTTGCCATTTGCAATAAAACCACATTGGAAATACTGTGCGAGACTACCCCAGTGCGCACCAGGATAGCACACACCAGAGCTCTTGCCACAACGCCCTGCTTCTCTACATCTCAAAACATTTACGGTGAAACATTTTATAGTAATAATCAATACAGCGAAAACAAAACAGCTTGCAAATATTAGTGTACACTTACAATCTAAACCACTGTTAAACCTGACTTTATATGAAGTTACTTGGTGTCTCTGCAACAGTGACACATCAACACACCTGTGGAAACTAATCTGTATTCGGCACTGAGACAATAACACTGTCCATCCCTCGCTGACAGCATGACTGGTGAATGATTTGGGACGCAGGTGTGGAGAATGGAAATGGGCTTTATGTGACACTGATGTACCTGCTGCGTAGGGAACAGAAACACCTACTGTTCTGTGATACATGCATTTTTCATAATCATGTTATATACTATTAAATGTATGCATCTGATTAGTAAACAATTAACCATATGTATTCATAACCACACACAAAAAATACAAAAATGAAAAGAAAGTAAAACAAAGGATAGTTGTTTTTAAGTTAGTACCAGTATTTTTTTTTGTTTTAAGTCTTAAAATAAGATTCCCATGGTAAGTCTTTATGATCTCACTTAAAATGAGTAATTTTATCCTTCTGAACCAAAAATAATGCTAATTGTCACTGGTAAAGCATATTGTAAATGCTGTCAAATTATGACTGCTTAATGGAAACACTTCATATTTTTTGTGCTGATGTATATATTTTGTAACAAACCTTAAGCTTAACCTTTAACTATGAAAGAATAACAGACCCATGCTTTGCCCACAGCATCCAAGATGGCTGCTTCCAGCCTATGTTTGGCTTGTGTCAGAACCCTACCTGATCCCACCAGCCAATGAGCCAGGGCCTGGAGCACGTCTCGCAGAACAGGTCAACGAAAGGTGTCCTGCGCTCTACCGGGGTCCCACTCCCGCCCCCTTCCAGAACCCCTCCGGCCGCACCGAGGTCCAGCTCGGCCCCTGCCCTCCCCTGCAGCGGGCTGTAGCTGGAGGAGCGGGGCAGCCTGTAGCCACCTGGTACGGGGGAAGGGCAGGGGGATGGCGCCGGGTCAATGGCCTCCACTCCCATGTTGAGGCCCGCACTGGCTTTGGGCCGGGGGCACAGGCACGAGGCCCTGTAGTGGAGCGGGGTGGGGGCACCACATGCACCCCAGTGGCATGAGGCCGTTGTCAGGGTGTGTGGAGAGAGCCCACAGTTGCTGTACCTGCGACACTCCAGAGCGGCGGGGGTGACAGGAGCGGGGGGAAGGGGGTGAGGGCAGGGGTGACGTCCTACATGCAGCACCCCAAAACAGGCTGGCCTTCAGTCCTGAGTCAGTGGTCCGAAATCAGTGACCCCCCCTCCTGATGTGCAAATCAGGAGCCCCCTGTATCTGGTCACTTTGGAGACTACATCTCATCCCATTTGCTGAGCACACTGACCCAAATCCAGTTAGAGCCACAGAGGAGATTCGCAAGAGAAGATGGATGAAAACAGAGTGAATAGGACTATGTGAAGGGCACACAGGGGAAGAGCAGAGGAAGTAGGAAGGACAAGTGTAAATAAAATGATGCTGCTCTAAGCCACGAGCAGCTTGACAAGGAGTAACATGTTCTAAAAGCTAATCATGTGTTTGGGATGTGAAGCTTGTTATGGTAGGATGGATGGATGGATGGATGACCAATAAGCACAGATGCCAAAGAAAGCTCATATGACAGCAGTAGCATAGGAGCAAAAACACAAGCACAAGGACCAATGGCAGGGGCAGAAAGAGTAGTCTGAAGTGGTCGGACAGAAGCTGTAGAGTTGATCCGAGGTTTGAGGAAAAAGACTGGTTCCTCCACTGCCCCTCCCCCAACGGTCCAGCTCCACAGGCCCGGCCCAGTCCTACCGGTGCATCAACCCGCTGTGTTCTGTCTCTCACTGCTCCCACACTCCCTGTAAGGCGCGTCTCCTGTATCCTAGTCCTTGTCTTCAACACAATCCATGCGAGAGCTATCCAAAACGCCAGAGGTGTGATGCTGATGCTATAGGTTGCTGATCCTTCTCCAATGCTCTGCTTCTTGCGCCATTTCCCTGGATGCTGTAGACAGCTCTCGCAACCTAATCAGGCAGTGTGGCTGCAGGCGCGTGCATGTGTTTGTCTGTGCTCTGCTCCTCCTGCGCATGTGCAACAAGACAGTATGTACGTCTGTCGAAAATATGTGTGAGTAAGGGTGTGAGTGGAGTGAGAGACAGGAGAGGAGTATTCATGTGTCAACCACCATTTTGGCACTGGCTTTTGGAGCTTTGTAGCTGCTAAAAGACCAATCCTATTCACACTCATTATCTACCCTAGGAGACTTAAACCGCTCAGCACACACACCCACGTTCAATTAGCAGTCTCACCAACTGGAAGGCAACACAAATATGAGCCTCATAATCATTTCAGACAGTCAGACTTGCACAATTGAAAACATTGTACTGATATAAAATGCCTTGTTGAATTAAAACACTAAAAATAAATGATGCTGCCACTGTTGCTTTAAGATGCATCACTAGTAAGAGAGAAAATGCTTGTATTCTATTGGTTGTTGCCCACATCACATGGCTGGGGGTCAGAATAGAAAGCCAATGATTAAAAAGAAGGCTAGACCCTGCTGCTGTTCGATAGCAACCAAGGTTACGGCAGACAGCAGCATCAGGACCCCATTCCTCCCCCTTCCCTCTCCACTTCATCCCGCTCTCCCACTCCCACTCAACACTTTCCGCATTTGGGCACTAGGGGTCTGTCTATACCCACAAACGAAAACCAAAAGAACCACCAAAATACACAGATATTTCCAGTAGTCAATCCTTTCTAACATACTGTATATACTGATAAAGTTGGTTCACATCATGTATGACCTGTCTTAGCATGTTACTTATATTTAGAAAGATATTGTTTTACTGCATGAACATAGGCTCGCTACAGATGTAATCATTTGTTTGTTGGACAGGTGGGCACCTTGTTGGAGGCCATCTCGCTGACTGAGCGGTGGGTCTGAATGGTCTCCAGCTGATCCAGACACCAGTCCAGCTCCTCCAGAGTCTCCAGAGCCATCTGCTGGTACGTCTCCTCTGGTGAAGGACACAGACTGATCAAGTCACTCACAATAACATGTCACTGTCCGTGAAAGGAACGAAGATACAGATTGAACAAGACAAAGGACCGCGCAGAACACATATGAATATTGCATGCATTCTTAGAACGTTATTAATCATTGACACATACATTACTACTTCATAGTGCTGTATTTAGGTTTTTATAGATCATTCTGACCATAACTTACAAGTTGAGTGAAACATATCATATTTTCTTTCCTTTATTGTTTTTTGTAAACAATTTTCAAATGTAAAATATGATTAATGACAACTGAACATTTTCTTTGATATTCTACTGATCAAATAAATATTATGATCCAACATATATTTAATCATTCTTAAATTCTCAAAAAATGTCAGTTAACCTGTAATGTATGCATTATAGTTATAATTGGACGAGATGATGTTGTATGAAAGTGCCACTCTGTATTTTGTGATACTCAGCACTATCTTAATTGAGTATGATACGGTTGGGGAGCTGGGATTTTTCTTTGCCCTTTTGTTCTGTTTTGAAGGGACTATAGTGTGACAGATTTTTCATTAGTGGAGCACATACCAGAGAGTGTAGCTTGGGGAACAGTGTGCTGGCTCGTCACTGGTGACCTCCTGTGGACAAACACAGCACTGCATCAGACGAAGCATCGATCAATGCTGCCACCTGGTGAGCTGCATTATATACTTAGCAGTTTTTTGTTATGGTTCTGGAAAGTGACCTTTCTGGGGGAAAAGCTTCATTTTAGATAATGCATTCATTAGCATAAAATCCAAATAGAGATCAAAATAGTCTCAGACACTAGCAATATTTTTAGCCTGAGTGATTTGATAATTGAATAGAGGGCGGCATTCCCTGGGCACAGTAGAATAATTATAGATGCTAGATCTGTATAAATATCATATTGACGTTGGGCCAAAAATCCTGCCAAGTAGAGCTCCTTCAGTCTACTGCATTACAAATCTGAATCCTTTTGTATTGTTGACCCTCTCCCTTGTTGTATACCCAGGCAGAGAGTTGGAGAAATAAATCTGCAAGTTGGATAGTCGCCAGATTATATCAGAGCTGTAATCATAAGCTGGTTAATGAAGATGGCACTGGCCCTTTTCCTAGGGGTACAGAGGTAATGAAAAGGCATACACAGACTCTCATACAAATTACAAATTGTGCCAAGTTTTAAAAGGGCAAGGGCCATTTAATAGCATGATACTGACTTGTTTGTGGGTGTTGTGACATTGGCGAGGATGGTGAAGTTGCTTCTTACAGTTCGTAGGCTGGCCAACACCTGGGGGATGGATGAACAGCGTAGGAGTAAAGAAAGAGTGAAAAGAAAGAGAGGAAGAAAGCAATATGGGGACAAGTTCATTCACTGCACTCATTAACCACTGTTTCTAGTCATTAACAGCAATCTAACGTGCTATATGTGTCTCCCATACCTGAGCATAAGGAGTGACAATCAAGTCTTCAGCATGCCTGCAAGAGAAGAGAAGAGTGAGTTGGGTCTTGGCATGTTTGTTCAGCCTTTGTTTATGTGTGCGCTTGTATGTGTAAATTTCATGTTTGCAAATGCTTATGTTGATCTAAACAGGGGAAATGGGCTTGTATCACACTAATGGGAGGATTTAGTGGGTTGCATCTTAATGAAAGACGAACCAGGAAGCAGAGCACAACAGTTAACGTTAAGTAGACTCATCATGAATTCATTAGCATAGTGTTTGCATAATTACAATCACGCTTATTGCTGTGCTGATTGGGATAATATGCAGTTATTGTGAGCGTCTGTGAATCAAAGAGCCTATTGTTGAGTTGTTCTACTGTAGATGATGCTAAAAAAGATGGCCAAAATAATGCATGTGAGAAAATCTTAAATCTGGGGTCTCTAACTTTAATGGGATTGTTATGACACTAGTTCCTCACACTAGAAACTTGTGCTATATCACTAGTTTTCTCTCGCATCAGATTTTTCAGCCAATCAGTTCTCAGCCCAAAGCGTCAAATAGTGACTAGAATGCAAAATATAACAGTTTCTATTACGATGAAGACAACATGTAGTGATCTGATTTGCTCACAAACCTTTAAAAGACTCTTTCTCTTGGGACAAACAGAATGTTATGTTTATGAATTAAAATAGCGGTAATTCGTTTATAATGTTTAATGTTTTTTACGGATGCAACAATTTTATCTTGACTCACCAGTCTGTTTAATTTGTGGTGGAAAAAAGCAGAAACTAGCAGAGTTCTCATGGGGTTCACTTTGATGGATATTTCAGAATCAGAATCAGAATCATTTTTATTGCCAACGTAAGTAACAGGAGGTCACAGACTTGGAAATTGCTTTGGCTCAGTGCAACAGTCAAAAAGAGATAATAAAAATAAGAATAAAAAACACTTCTAAAGAATAAATTTAAAATTTAAAATAGAGTTACAGTTACTATTTACAATATACAAGTGCACATGGTGCACACAATGTAAGGTGACAGCAGTACAGTGAAGTAAAGTGACGTATGATGGGCAGTAAAGTGACTTTAAAAGGGCGGGGGGACAGGTTAAGAAGTGTTCAAGAGTCCAACAGCAGAGGGGAAGAAACTGTTCTTGTGGCGGGAGGTTCTAGTCCTGATGGACCGCAGCCTCCTGCCTGAGGGGAGTGGTTGGAATAGTCCATGTGCAGGGTGAGAGGGGTCGGCTGTGATACGACCAGCCCGGCCTCGAGCTCGGGCGACGTACAGGTCCTGCAGCGATGGAAGGCTGCGGCCGATCACTTCCTCTGCAGAGCGCACTATGCGCTGTAGTCTCTGTTTGTCCCTGACTGTGGCTCCAGCGAACCACACGGTGATGGAGGAGGTGAGGATGGACTCGATGATGGCCGTGTAGAACTGCACCAACATCTGTGCAGGCAGCTTGGCTTTCCTGAGCTGCCGCAGGAAGTACATCCTCTGCTGGGCCTTCTTGATGAGGGAGCTGATGGTCGGCTCCCACTTGAGGTCCTGGGTGATGGTGGTGCCCAGGAAACGGAAGGACTCCACAGAGGTGATGGGGGAGTCCATCACGGAGGGTGGGGGTGGGGGGACAGTGCTCTTCCTGAAGTCCACAATCATCTCCATTGTCTTCTGGGCGTTCAGCTCCAGGTTGTTACCACTGCACCAGGACACCAGCCGGTCCACCTCCCTCCTGTAGGCGGACTCATCGTTGTTGGAGATGAGTCCAATGAGGGTGGTGTCGTCCGCGAACTTGATCAGCTTCACGGAGTCGTGGCTGGAGGTGCAGTGGTTGGTGTACAGGGAGAAGAGCAGGGGAGAAAGAACACAGCCCTGTGGGGCTCCTGTATTTATAATCCGAGAGTCCGAGACATTCTTCCCCAGACGCACTCGCTGCTTCCTGTCCGTCAGGAAGTCAGTGATCCACCTGCAGGTGGAATCGGGCACGTTGAGCTGGGAGAGCTTGTCCTGGAGCAGGGATGGCAGGATTGTGTTGAAGGCAGAGCTGAAGTCCACGAACAGGACCCTGGCGTAGGTCCCCGGGGAGTCCAGGTGCTGTAGGATGTGGTGGAGGGCCAGGTTAATGGCGTCGTCTACAGATCTGTTGGCTCTGTAGGCGAACTGCAGGGGGTCCAGGAGGGGGGAGGTGAGGGACTTGAGATGGGAGAGAACCAGGCGTTCAAATGACTTCATGACGACAGACGTAAGTGCTACAGGTCTGTAGTCATTGAGTCCTGTGATCCTGGGCTTCTTCGGGACGGGGACAATGATGGAGGATTTGAAGCAGGCCGGGACATGGCAGGACTGCAGAGAGGTGTTGAAAATGTCCGTGAACACAGGAGTAAGCTCACTGGCGCAGTGTCTCAGAGTGGCCGGAGACACGTGGTCCGGGCCAGGAGCTTTGCGGGGGTGCAGCCTCAGGAAGAGTTGTTTAATCTCTTTAGCGGCTATTGTTAGGCTGGGGGCAGGGCTGATGGGTGGGTCGTTAGAGTAGTGGGGGGTGGGGGAGGGAGAGGTGTCAGGGGCAGCATCAAAGCGACTGAAAAATAAGTTCAGATCGTCAGCTAGCTTGTGGTCATCAGCACGGGGGGGGCTTTGGGTTTGTAGTTGGTGATCTCCCGTAGGCCCCTCCAGACAGAAGCAGTATCGTTGTTACCAAACTGCTCCTGTAGTCGTTCTCTGTGCCGGGACTTGGCTGCTTTCAGTTCTTTCCTGAACTGATATTTAGCTGCTTTGTAGCCGCTGCGGTCCCCCTCCCTGAAAGCAGACTCCTTTGCTTTCCTGAGCTGCCGGAGTTTAGCAGTGAACCAGGGTTTGTCGTTGTTATAGATGACCCTGGTCCTTGTTGGAATGATGCTATCCTCACAGAAGTGAATGTATGACGTCACAGTGTCCGTGTATTCATCCAAGCTGTCTGTGGCAGCTCTGAAAAGGTCCCAGTCTGTAGATTCCATGCATGCGCGCAGCTCTTCCACAGCTTCATCAGACCACACTTTGGAGCTCCTCACTGCAGGTTTCGAGAGCTTTAGTCTCTGTCTGTAAGCAGGAACCAGATGTATCATGGAGTGATCTGAGAAGCCGAGGGCTGGCTTGGGAACAGCGCGAAAAGCTCCGCGCACGGTGGTGTAACAGTGATCCAGAGTGTTCTCCTCTCTGGTCGGGCATTTGATAAACTGTCTGTATTTGGGTAATTCCTGGCTCAAGTTTCCCTTATTAAAATCCCCCAGGATAATAATCAGAGAGTCCGGGTATAAACGTTCCATACACAGTACTTGCTCTGCGAGTGCGCGCTGAGCCTCGCGCGCGTCCGCGCATGGCGGTATGTAAACAGAGGCAAGAATGAATGAAACAATTTCCCGCGGGGAGTAATATGGTTTACAATGAATGAAAAGATATTCCAGAGCAGGAGAGCAGTGCTTGGAGATCACTGTCACATCGTTACACCAGTTTATATTGACGTAGAAACACAGCCCTCCGCCTCTGCTCTTCCCTGAGAGCGCACAATGGCGATCCGCGCGGAACAGCCCAAAGCCCTGCAGCTCCAGAGCGCAGTCCGGGATCCGCTCATTTAGCCAGGTCTCAGTGAAGCAGAGGACACAGGATGTGGCGAAGTCCTTGTTTCTTCTCATGAGCAGGCTGAGTTCGTCCATCTCATTGCCCAGTGAGCGTACGTTGGAGAGAAAAATGCCGGGGAGAGCCGTGCGCGCTCCTCTCCTCCTAAGACGCACGAGCAGGCCTCCGCGCTTTCCCCTTTTACGGGCCCACACTTTTTTGGCTAGAACATGAACTAAATCAGCCGCAGATGCCAAGAAAACAGGCAATAGGTCCATGGGAACGGTGGGTCGGATGTTCATAAGTTCCTCACGGGTGTAGGAACAGCCAGATGCACAGTTAAAAAGTAAAAACAAAAGAAAAAGAGAGCAGCAAAGAGCCATGTCGACCGTACGAGGCGCCATCTTTGACATTATTTTAATGGATTGCCAGTATAATGTAAAATGATATGAACAGGTAGATAGATACAGTATATAGAGATCCACGATGTGTGACGATGCTCACTGCTTACCCCTCACTGTTGACAGAGGAGTTTCGGGACATGGTTTTGGGCGAGGTGTCATAGTCTGAGTCAGAGCGATACAGGAAGGACTCCCGGCGCTGGCTCTGGGGGAACGAGGGGTGCAGCACCAGCCCGGGACTCGCCTGCGAATCCATGGGGCTGCGGCCTGGAGAGGGGCCATTTTCTGAGTCGAAGCTGAGGAGAGAAAGGTAACAGATGTTTAAGTTAACATACAATTATACAAATACAATAAAATCAAATTCGCAACGCTAATAGATGCAATTTAGAAATTCCAAGGACTGCTATTAGTTTCCTGAATCATTTCCTTTACATGAAAGCTCAGAATATTGTATTAAAGTAGCAATATGTAAGATTTTCATGTCAAGTCATAATTAAATAGCCCTAATCTGTCAAAAGGCATTAATAAACCATACTCTTTTTTTGGAATACTTCGTTAACTGATAACAGTAGTCAGCTGAGATATTCAAATTTCAAATTTAGTTTTACAGCTCCTAAATCTTTAATTGCGGTGTCCCGCCCTCCACCTTTTCACCAATCAGAAAGTCCGTGATCCAGGTTGCCAGTACTCACCAATTTAAGCTAATCTCACTGGTAAAGTAACTTGTCATCATTCATGGCAAAACAAGGATCTCTATCAGAGCCTTTGTGAAAAAGGTGTTGGTTATAGATTTGTTGTTGAGTAAACTCTTGTCAATTCAGCTATTATGGTCCCGTCTGGATTTGACTGTATATCTGGCAACCTGAGTCAGGGAGAGTAGGAGAGGTTGCAGTACCACTTTTGGCCAGATTTTTACATATTCCTCCTTTTAATCACTTGTTGCAATCACATGTGGTGTGAGCTCCTACTGCTGTGCGACCTTCCCTTTTTTAAATTTTTCATGTTTCTCTGACCCAGCACGCAGGCACAAATATTAAAGATGCATGTCACTATCTACACTAATTTCTTTTGAAAACATTAAATATCTTGATTTATTTCACACAATTCTGCTAGCCTTGGGTATTGGACTATGGAAACTCAAAATTCTTTACAAAACAAAAACTGTTTTTAGCCTGGATTTGAACATTTTCAGTGCAGAAGCATGTCTCACATTTTCAGAAAGACTAAAAGATTTTAGCTGCATAATTCTGAAACACTGCCTCCCCATGTTTAGTTCTGACTCTGGGCACCAGTAGGAGGCCAGTCCCTGTGCTTCTCATGTCTAACATGTCTTGAATGTACTTTGGAGAAAAGCAGAGCAGTATTCTTTCTCTTTTCGCTAGTGCAGAGACATGAGAACTTGACTGATGTGACCGTACTTCCTGGTTCTAGTCAGAACTCGAGCTGCAGCGTTTTGAATATTACAGCTTGTTTGGAGATCCCAGTGAGCAGGCCATTACAGTAGTCTAACCTACTGGATACAAAAGTATGGATAAGAATCTCCAGGTCTGCTTTAGACACTATGATCCATCTGGATGAAAAACCGCTTTTAGATATTTTGTTAAAATCGATCAGGCCTAATCTATCTATTAATTGTTGTGGTTCTTCTAGCATTACCTGTGCCACGTTTTGAAGAGTACAGAGTGAGACTGATGTTAGGGAAAGTTAGACGTGACAGCTTTTGGATGTTATATTTCCGCAGCTGTGACTCCGCCACACTGGGGCGCTTGGCAGACTGCCACAGGTTACCCTGAGAGTCCCTCTTTACTGACAAATCACATTTCAGAACAAGTTGTGTTAAACTGAGCAAAAGCAGCCACATCAACCATACTCCTCTCAGGGCCATGTCGGAAACAAGACTTGAGTCACTGAGACTTTAATTTGGGTTTGATCTGCATTGCACCTCACGGTTAAAATTAATCAACTTTTGAAAGCCCTTGTATTAACAGTAACTAGAGGCAGTTTTTGTAGAATTTGGCTAGTCACGTTGTGTATATCTTTGTGTGAAACCAAGCACCGGTTCGTTGAACGCATTGCTGATCAACATTCATTCCCAAAGCTGAATGCTAAAAGACTTGATCGATTGCCAGACGAGCCGAGGGTTCAGCACTTATCACTTTACACCATATCTTTTTTCACCAGCACCAGCAGTCACAACTGTTGTTCAGCAGACAGACAGCAGCCCCTTCAAGAGATGCAGAAACTTCTGAGAGATCAAAGAAGATTCAATGAAACATCTAGGCCATGTATTGATTAGAAAAGCTGTTAGTGTTCGGTTACATGGATCCCAAAACTTCATAGTTACAGGAATTATTTAATTAGCTTTAAATTTAGGCTGGAACGTGCTCACTCATGGCAGATAAGGACACATTTTTGTGAATGTCATGAGTGCAAGTTGAATTACTTTTCTGGATCAATTTAGTTTGGCGCAGTCTTCTGTTAATCATCTAAATTGAGCACACACGGTGATATTTTTAGAAATTCCCTCTAAATTGGCCAATTAGAAGTGACTTCTCCTACCCAGAAGGCTTTGTGAATATGACTACAAATCAAATTATCGTTAAAAATGTTTTCCCACTAATGAAAAACACATCAAAACTGTTCGCCAGGGGACCCTCTCTGAGCTGCATAAGCTAATACACAATTCTAGTTTTTTTCCAAAAAGCTACGAGAGGAATTATGAGCCTGCGTCGTGCTCACAAACATCTAATCCATCAGAGGCTATAAAATGTGCTTGAAAAATAGAACAAAAGCTCATGCCAGAGAAATTCATTTCAATCTAACCACAACACATATTTAAATTACTTTAACATTTTCTTTATCACTGCCTCCAATGTTGACTTTTCATCAAATATAATACATATAACTTTAATGTTGAATATATTAGATATTGTATTTTGTGAGTACAACACATTTAGTATCTACAAACTGAACTGTGAGATTGCATTGAAACCTGTGTTTTTATCTATCTTGCACATTATACCAAACTTAATTTAAAATAGCGCTATATAAGGATGACATGTCAACATAATCAAATCATTAACTTTTTCACAACACACACAAAAACAACTGCACTTATTTTTGAAGCTCTATTTAGGGATTTTTAGCATAGCAATGGGATATTTCTTACCACTAAAATGTTACATTATTCATTACAAATATCCAATGCAGTCAAAAACCATGGAAATGACTTTTGCTTTTCTCAAGGAAATCCCAAAGAACAAAGGAAAATATTTGACACAGTTGTATTAATCTATGGACCAACAATTTGGAAGTATTCTCACTCTATAGACATGCTCATAAGTCACTCAACTCAGGACATACTTGTAATGTATAATTTTTATACATAGCTTTCATTATAATCAGCATGATGAATTGTACAAGACCAATTATTTTTCTACCATACTGTAAACAAATACAATAGGGGACCTAAAAAACCCTAAAAGTTCTATTTTTGTTTGTGTCTATTGAAAAGCAGAGACTTTTAAGTGCCACTGTTGCTGTTGTACCTTGTAAGCCAGTTAGGATAGTGCCTGAGCTCTTGAATGCTTCGATTAAGCCTGAGCCGCCGGAAGAGCGAGGAGCCTGTGTGTCTGTGGTTGCCCGGCGGGGACAGGGGAGAGCTGAGGGGGGGCACAGGTGGAGGCCCCTCAAGACTGTCCCACAAACTCATCTGCCTCACTCTCTCCCTGTGACTCATCTTTCCGACTGGGTCTTCACTTAGCATCCTGGCTTCCTCCCACTCAGCCCCCCGTGTAGACTTTTTAGTGCTCCAGTCAAGCGGAGGAGCCAGAGCAGAAGCACACCTGCAAAACCTGCCCTCAATCTGACTATTTGGCTCTTACAGCAGGATGTCAACGTCTCAGCTTTAGTCCCTTCTGTCAAAGCACATCAGTATTCATTGCCCCTCTCTGTGCTCCTTGGGCCTTTGCACCCTTTCCAGAACCTCTCGTTGTTCCCTGGATTTGTACAACGTTTCTTTCTTAATCCTTGCCGGTGCAGATTGTTTGGTCTATTTGGAGGATTTCTTTAATATTCCAACATATCTGCTGTGTCTCCTTAGTCCCAGTTCAGCAGTTAGATCCATTCTCGCCAAATATGGACTGCTCGCCTTGTCTTGCTCCCTGCTCCTTCTCTCGGGACGATCAATTAGCAAAAGCCGCTTCGAATTAATTTTCTTCCTTCACCCAATTAATGCTTTTTAGGATAGCTGTTTTCTCCTCTGCTGTGCTTGGGTAATGTTTGCGCTATCCTTATCTCACAGCCTCTTCTGCCGCAACAGGAAGGTCGATGTGTATGGTAATAGACCGCAGGCGCTGCATGCTGAGGCCATGTAATGAAGATTTGAAGACTACATGGACTTAAAAAGGAAGCAAAGTCAGGGTTGGTTTGACTTTACCCCTCTGTAAATGTTTACATGTACAGCTGAAGAGCATGGCCCATAATATTTTGTGTTTTGACACTAACAGCTTCTACTTGACAGTTTTCATTGACGCTGTCACATGTGCGGGGGGTGATGTCATCAACCTCAATTATTATTATTTTTTTTAAGAACGGCCTTGTACTATCATGTAAATTAAGTCTTTTTAGAAATTACATTACCACTGCTGGATTTGTTGTTTTAGAATAGATACCTTTTCTGACGATATAAGCCATATTCATACAGGACCATTCCAGTGCCCCAATAACTGTGTGAATGCAACATTGACTTCACAAAATCTAATGTTGAAATTCAACACTATTTAAAATTTGCTAGAATTTGGTGCCTACAGTTTACAGGTGAAACTCTGAAAATAAGAAAAAGGACAAAAGTTGTTGGCAACAACTTTGTAAAGTCCTTTGGGACGACTGCTATTGTGATTAGAGCTATACAAAAAGGATAGTTATTGCGGAGGACTTTACAAAACAGTTTAATTCGCCAACACAGATCAGAGAATCAAACAGTTCAAACACAAGAAATTCATTGATAAAAAACACATAGAACTATTGATCCATAAATGTGGCAGGTGGCCAATGTCCATGAATGTTGATAAATGTCCATAAATGTTGTTGAGTGTCCTGGATCATCACTGCTGTCCTATATGTCCTGTATAATATATAATTAATCATATATTATATATTCAATGTTCTAATTCTGGGTTTCACTTGTATACATTTCATGGCAGTGCTACAGCAATATGTAGTGTTATTATTACATGCCTTTATAAGCCACTTCTAACTAGCACAAAGCTACCCCAGTTACCTGGACCAGAGGTAATTCTCGGTTGACACAGGCACAAGACAAAAGACCGCATCTTGGAAACACGGCTCCGGATCAAAATGCATAAATGTTTTACTGCTGAGTAAATATCGCGTCAGGGAAACTGAGCTGCACTGACTTAATGGCGGCCTTTAAAGAGGAAAGTATTGATTGTTTTTTGTTCTAAGTACCTCATTAACCTTCGAAGGTCTGAAATTGGATTTAATATGGTACAGCTGACTTTAACTTGTAGAGGATCTAAAAACTGCCCATACATTTACAAGAAATAATAAAGTAGTAATAGAAGTAATAGGTTTATTTTTCAGTAGTAATAGCAGCAGCATTGTTAGAACGTATGCTTCATGATATTATCCATAAGGTCTCCATCCCTTATTAGAAAGAAGTTGTAGTTTTTACTAATAGAAGTATGTTCTAAAACCTTGAGGTGCAGTTCCAGTCCTTTAAAAAAAATCCTGCATCCAAACAGTAATTCAGATTACCTCCAAACTTGAATCGGTTATTCACTGGGACATTCCGCAGGCTTCCTGAAAATGTTCCCTTATTGTTTTGACTTGAGTTGCTCACAGACAAATAGACAAAAAGGTAATAAAAATAGATATCTGACGTATTCAGAGAATAACTCTTTATGCTGATCTCGTATATTTCAGAAACTATAAGCAGGGCAAATGCTGGTGATTGGAGACCTCTGGGAACTCCAGGTGCCACAGTGGGGCAGCTGTGGCTATGAAGTGAAAACTGCCATTGTGTCCATTGTGTGTGAGAGAGAATGTTTGGCTGCTTGGTAGGTCTGAAAGGCACATTTTAGTTGCTTTGCTTCTGCCCCAGGGAAGCTGTGGCTATAGTAGTAGTGAATGAACAATGCCATGTGAGTGTTCTAAAAAGTTATTATAAATGATGAATTATAATACCATATTTACACATTTTATGAAGTACTACATATATAAGTTAGTACCCTAAAAAAATAGCAGTGTATTTACAGTGATGGCCATGAACACCACTGCCAGTGCACACATTAAAGGTAAAGGTGCACTTTATTGATCCCCGTAAGGCAATTCATCCTCTGCATTTGACCCATCCTGATGCCACTAAGGCTCAAGTCAGGAGCAGTGGTCGCCGTAGTACAGCTCCAGTTGTTGTTAGTGGTAGGGGAAACCAGAGTACCTGGAGAAAACCTACGCAGGCACGGGGAGAACACGCAAACTCCAATCAGGAAAGCCCTGTTACAACTGAAATTCGAACCCAGGACCTTCTTGCTGAGAAACGGGAGTGCTATCCACTCAGCCGCCGTGCCGCCACATTGTGATACCATGTTGTACAATCCCACTAATAGATGTTACTTCAGTACTACAGTAATATGACTTTTTGAATAAAAGTATTTTTACTAAAGCTCAAATTACTTCAGTTACTTTGTGTCACTAGTGGTTTGAGCATGTGGTTTCCTCAGTCCGGTTATACCTACACCGCTGTAAGAGAATATAAGCCCTACTGTTCCTGTAAAACTATTCGTTTTTTGTATCTGTTGTAAATCCCACCTCAAATGCCCTTTCTGCAGCCTGGCACGCTCCTGACTGTGTTACCCCTTGCATTCTTATTTTGAGTCTCGGTGGAAAACTTTTTTTGTTTATACTAGCGGGTGTAACCTTTTATCATTGTTTGGTACACAGATTGGTCATTACTGTGTGTGAGTGTGGAAGTACCTGCATTTGTTCGTGCTTATTTGAGTCTGTCGAGAGCTGCCACAATGGAGGAGATAAGATATTCACACGCTTACAATATCTCTATACGCTATGCACATACCAAATGAGGAAGCTACAGACAAGTTTTCTTTTTCTAGCTAGAGTCTTTTCTTTTTTTCTGTAAGTGGAAACAAGGAACTGGCTGGAGCCTGGTATTACGCCTCGCTTCAGCCGCACAGCAGAAATGAGCTGCTGTCAAGCTGTGTCTCCTCGCACTCTCTCTTGTCTTTTTTATCCCCTCTCTACGTTTGTTTATAATTCACAGGGGATGCATAGAAGGGAAGGTAGTCTTACTTGAAAAGGCCCCTCATTTGTCAAGAAATGTGGGTAGAAATGCATTCTAATTAATTTTATATGTAGTAAATCTTATGTCTTCTGCAGAGCTCATTAAATTAAGAGCCAGATGTGGGAACCACTTTCTGTGATATTCATTCATTCATTCAATCTGATTTGGATGTGAATCTTTCACATAAATACATTTAGAAGAGAAACATCTCTGTTGGTCCCAACCTTGGATAAGTTGAAAAGTTTGGATGCGCAAAGTTGGGTTATGGCTCTCTTTATGTTTTGTACATTTACATGATGTACAAACAGTGATTTTGTTTTTGGCAGGATATTTCACCCCTTTTGCCGAATAAGAGTCTGTATATGAGTGAATGATTAGTGGTAGTTTTAGGGGCCAATGGAATTGACATTGGAAGCTTCACTTCAGTCAGTCTACTCCAGGGCAGCTTTGCCTAAAGTACTGGCTTACCAGTGTGTGTGGAGTGAATAAATAATGAACTGTAAAGCGCTTTGGATATCATGAAAGGCAGTATATAAATGCTATGCTTACTTACTTATGCTCACTAGTAATGGTAGTAGTGTTAGCATAATGGAAAAGCAGCAGTTGTAGTGTCAGTAGATTGTGGCTTTTCCCTGCACCATTTTCTGCCTTTTATCCCCAGTCTTCTTAATTTACATTTGTTTATGATCCTCCGGGGAACACAACGGTGAATTTACGGTTGCATAAAAAAAAAAAAGAAACTGCTTTGCGTCTGTCGAAAAATACACAGTTGTTCAGACATGGCAAAGATATTTCATTCACTTGACAGTTACCTCTGTAATCGCTGGAGAAAAGCGATGAAGAGACAATTACTTCATCTCTTATTAAACAGCAAGTCCCAGTTTAATAATAGCTGGTGAAAAATCTCAATGTGACTGGCAAAGGCACACGGCGTGAACTTCAAAGCGTACTAATAGGCAGCCGCACGCACATTCTATTTGAGATGGTGGGTTGTTTTTTCTTCGGTGAGGGTCCCTGGGGGGCAGAACCGTGGACAATGACATGGTGATCAGTGGTTTCAGGGGAGAGGGATTTGTGCTGGCTCGTTGATTGTGCCTTACAGTAGATAACAAACTGTCACTGGCGACTGGATGCGGCTGGAGGCTGCTGTCGTCGGCCTTGTAACACCACTTATTATTGTGCGGATTGGTGAAACATACAGTAATTGATATGTTAATTGCCACTGAGGCGTGTGATCAGACACACATGTGAGCCTTGTTTGTGGCACATGCTTCAAGTCTGTCCTGGGCTCTTAGAAAACCTATTGAAATTGTCAGTATCAAATTGATTGTCAACCAGTGTGCCAGAAACAGTTATGTGTCTTGAGATATTGCCTGCTATGTTTTGTTTGAAAATCAAATCAAGTGAGGGGGAAAAAAAAGTATTTTTGTTGTGTTTTGAGTTGA